ACTCTTCTCTATATAAGGCTGGATTCCTCATTGGAAAGTTCATCAGAAAGAGTTTTTTCCATTGGACTAGTATTAACCTTTCTTTTGAAGGAAACAGAACAACCCCCATATAAATCCTTTAACATCTTTTTGTTTAAAAGCATATATTGCTCAATTATCATCATTAGTAGAATGGTGAAATCCATAATCATCGATCTATTAATTCCAATAAAAACCCCAAACAAATCCCAGCCAAATAAATAGGTTAACATAAATAAAGCACCAACCAGTATTAACAATAAGAAACAAATATCAGCAAATATCATAAATCTAGTAAACTGAGCAGCAAGGTTATTTAAGTAATGGAATATAATAAAAATTACCTTCAATCTGGCAAAAGAAACATTCTCTTTCATTGACTTTAGTTTGTAATACATTCTAATCCCACTAAATAAAAATCCAATTGGGAAAATCCACAAATACATCATTCCAAATGCAATAAATACCATGAATATTATTGATAGTTTGGTAATAAAAAATGACATGCAAATTACTGAAATAAGAAGAGCCAGTAAGGAAAGGTAAAATCCAGAAAGAATCAATTTGTTTCCAAGTGTAAGAGATTCTTGAGGACGTTCTTCTTTCTTAATTAGAGAAGATTTTTCAACTTGTTCAGACTTTTCCTCATCTTCAGGACAATCATTATTTTCTTGTTGGTCAGTTCTACTAGACCCTAATAAAGCTTTTCCAGTTGCTGCAATGCTTGCACTGATTCCAGAAATAAAATTATCATTTGTTGAGGTCATATGTTGCCAACTGACAAGCATACTTGCAAAGCTGCAACATAAAAGTACCAAAGAAACCATTCTCATCATTCCATTACCCAATAGTAACATAAATCCGTTCTTTGATGTATTATCCTCTTGGTTATAAACATTTGAAAAAACATATAAATTAAAAAGATAGGCAAACACTTCCTGAGCGCTCATCCACAATATAGAAATAAATAAAATGGTATTACTTTGCATCCTTAAATCAAATAGAGATGTAACATAGGAATATTTACGATTATAATACTTAGTCCTGGCTTCTTTACATATTGCACAACATAAAGGTAATTGTAATAAGAAGATTGATGTAAATAGCAGTAAAATAGTACATAAAAATATAAATATAGGTCCAAACTCGAATACAAACGGTATTATGAAATGTGAATAAACGTCACACTTATACCCAAATGTAAAATTTTTCATTCCTGGCACCAAGCTCAAACTATTACCCTCACAAAAGCAGTTATAAGGAAAATAAGATTGCTGGATAAACTTCATAAAATCATAAAATGATAAAACATTTCTGAAGGCAGAAATATCCATTAAATCTGACGCCAAATAAAAAGTTCCTATTTTCATATTATCATTAACAGAATCTTCTATGCACTGTTGTTGAGCTTTTTGTACCACAATAGAGTTAAAAAGTGGGCAAGCATCTCTGTAGCCATCCCCATCACTGATGGTATTGTTAACTAAGAAAAATCTAAAATCCTTGCTATTATTGTTATTACAATAATAACAGTAATTATAAAACCATGAAAATTCATCCAATTGACTCCATGTTGTCAAATTCAATTTTCTATTTTCTACTTCATGATATTTTCCTGTTGATGTACAAAAAAATTGAATACATAGGTTTGATTCTTCATCAAATGTGTCATGTTCAACACTAAAAGGTAGATCAGAGACAGTAAGATAGTTTCTTGGAGGAGCATCAGAAGAGCACACATCTATCATTGGAGAATCAGGAGGATATAAGCTTACTGAATAATCCCCAACGCTGGCAAGTAAGCTATAGGAATAATTTGGAATGTAAAGTTTTGAATAAGAAGTACCATTTAGATCTGTCCTAACCCAAGGATTTTTAACAGTGTAGAGAGCAGGAAATTTTTTTGTAATAATATCAATCTCTGGAGAATATTGAACTGTGGGTGAAGCTGCGAAAAGGATGAGAATGATCATGGAGAAAGTGAGAATAAATACCAAATGTTCAATAAGAGGTCTAGATGTAAAGTAGGACAATAAAGAAGGATGAGAGGTTAATAGTAAAGACTTTTCGTTTGGTAAAATTGATGTCCTCCGCAACTTTTTTCTGTTAAGAAGTATTTGTGGTGGTGGTGGTGGGGAGGGATGTTGTTCTCTAAAGTGTTCTATAAAAACCTCTTTAAAAGATTTGGCTAATTGTTCAATAATTATTTTTCTATTGTGATGACCCAGGACAATATTTGATGGTGTATCCAAATTGTTGGAAATACCATCTCCGAATGGTAGTATTGTAGATGATCGTGGAGGAGTTATGTGTTGTGAAGTACAATGAATTGGTATTGCCATTTTTTTAATATATATAACGGTTATTCTTAAAATCATAAGTAATATTAAAATAATAATACGCAATGTAGGACTCTGAATCAAAACTATATAAATATAATATAATGAATTCCTTGTAAAGAGTTTGTAATATTTAATTAATCATCAAAATAAATATTGCAATAAAAAAATGATCTCAACACAAAAAGCTATTCATCACATTGTGTTGCTGAGAAAGAAGCCTTTGCTTTTGCATTGGAACATTCTCATTTTCATGATTTTATATCCTTTAGCTTCTTTGGGAATTAATGTCTACTTACTTCCTGCCATGTTGCACTCTCATTCCGATCATTCTCACCATCATCATCATCACGAATCACATTCAGATAATTTATTTTTTTATCATCTTGTTTGTTTGGGTCCTTTGGCTTTGATACATTTAGTTACATTCCTCTCAGCCTATTGGAATGTTAATATCAAGGCTTTTTTTCAATACTCACCTGTTGGTTCTGATTCCATCAGTGAAGGAATTGTTGTTAAAGTTGTTCCGAACAAACACAAAGGGTTCACAGAATTATGCCCTCTAAAATTAATAAGAGAGGAAAATGGGCAACAGCGATATTATTTCGAATATCAAAAGCGAGGCTTTTATTGGGATGAAAATTTAAAACAATTCGTTAGAAACCGTTTTCCATATCAAAATTTGGAGCAAAAATCCCAAACACTCAAGGAATGGATCACAAAGACTGAGAAACAAGGTTTAACTGATAAGGAAACACACGTTAAGAGAAGAATTTATGGTCATAATCAATTTGAAATTCCAATACCAAAGTTCCTTGAGTTATTTATCGAACATGCATTAGCTCCATTCTTTGTATTTCAAGTATTCTGTGTATTGTTGTGGTGTTTAGATGAGTATTGGTACTATTCCCTTTTTACACTTGTTATGTTGTTCATGTTTGAGAGTACTGTTGTAAATTCGAGATTGAGAAGTCTTAACCAAATAAGACAAATGGCCACAAAGCCTCAATTCTTAAATGTCTATAGAGATGGCAAGTGGATAGAAATTTCAAGTATTGATCTCTTACCTAACGATATAATTTCTGTTACTCATCATGCTGAAGAAGGCCAAGTAACACCATGCGATATTTTATTAATTAGTGGCAAATGTGTAACGAATGAAGCCCTCCTTACTGGTGAATCTACTCCACAAATGAAAGAATGTATTCCTGTGGAAGAGTTGAAGGATAGAAAGAAGCTTGATATCAAAAATATTGATAAGAGTCATGTTATATTTGGAGGTACAGTTGTTTTACAACACACAACAGGAACAGCATGTGGAAAACAAGCTCCAGACAAAGGTGCTGTTGGTATTGTGTTGAGAACAGGCTTTGAGACGTCTCAAGGAAAGCTCATTAGAACCATTTTATATGCTTCTGAACGTGTGAGCGCTAATAACGTAGAAGCACTATTGTTCATCTTGTTCCTTTTAATTTTTGCAATTATTGCTAGTGCATATGTGCTATATGAGGGATTAAAGAATCCTGAAAAGAGCAGATACAAATTGGCACTCAATTGCATTTTAATTATTACTTCTGTAGTTCCTCCTGAATTACCAATGGAACTTTCTCTTGCAGTCAATAACTCTTTATTGTCACTCTCCATGTTAGGAATTTTCTGTACTGAACCTTTCAGAATCCCATACGCTGGTAAAGTTAACGTTTGTTGCTTTGACAAGACTGGTACCCTAGTCAGTGATAAGATGACACTCAAGGGAATTGCAATGTCAGAAAATGATTCTGATGAATTATTGGAGAAACCAAGTGAAAAGAGTAGAATGGTATTGGCTGGTTGTCAATCCCTCATCGATCTGAATGGAAAAATATTGGGTGATCCTATGGAAGTTTCTGGTCTTTCTGGTGTTGAATATGAAATCAATAAGGATATTATTCAAAGTACTTCATCAAAGACCATCAAATCCATCAAAATACTGAAGAGATTTCCTTTCAACTCAGTCCTCAAAAGAATGTCTACTATTGTTCATGTTGTAGAGAAGAATGACTCTAAGGTTACTCGTGTTCTCGTAAAGGGAGCTCCAGAGTTAGTAAAGCCATTCCTTACTGGAAGTGAAGTTCCAGGCGCTCTTCAATCCTATGACACTAGATTCCAACATTTAACCCAAATCGGTATGAGAGTAATCACACTTGCCTATAAGGATTTGAACACCACCGATCTTAATGTAGTAGAAAAATTAACTAGAGAAGAAGTAGAAAAAGATTTGATTTTTGCTGGCTTTGCTTCATTCCAAAGTGATATTAAGCCAAATACCAAAGAAACTATTCAAAATCTTAAAAATAGCTCACACAAGGTTATTATGATCACTGGCGATAATCCTTTGACCGCCTCACATGTTGCAAAAGAATTAGAAATGACAAACAAGCCAATTCTGTCCCTCAAACAAGACAATGAAAAATATTATTGGTTCGGAAATACTAGCAGTGGATGTGACTCGGACACGCACAAAGATTTTGATATTAGTACTATTCCAACACTTTCAAAATCATTTGATTTTTGTGTAAGTGGTGAACAAATGGCTAACCTTTCAGCACTTTCGAATGGAAAAACTATTTTGGATGTCCTTTCTTCCCATGTTGCAATTTTCGCTCGTGTTAGCCCCGAACAAAAAGAATCCATCTTGACATCACTCAAATCACAAAATTATCAAACTCTCATGTGTGGTGATGGTACTAATGATGTTGGTGCCTTGAAACAAGCTCATGTTGGTGTGGCACTTCTCGAAAATAAGCCCCAACCAAAGAAGGAAAACGAAACCCAACAACCAAATACACCCCTCCATAAGAAGAGCGATATTATCAAGGAACTTTCTAAAGTTAATCCATCAGTTAGTCCTCAAGCTCAACAAAAGAAATCCTTCACAGAGTTGTTGAAAGAAATGAAAGAAAAACAAGAACAGTTGGCAGCTCAAGAAGAGGCTAATCTTGTTAAGTTGGGAGATGCTTCAATTGCTAGCCCTTTCACTTCTCGTAAATCCACAATAGAATCATGTGCTCATATTATCATGCAAGGACGTTGTACATTAGTTACCACAATGCAAATGTACAAAATATTAGCTTTAAATTGTCTCATTTCTGCCTATTCTTTGAGCGCTCTCTACTTGGATGGTGTAAAGTTTGGTGATTCACAAATGATGATAACTGGCTTTGGAGTTGCCTTGTGCTTCCTTTTCATTTCAAGATCCAAACCTTTAGATACTTTATCCAAAGAAAGACCACATATTACTATTTTTTCTCCTTACATGTTAGCAACTGTGATGGGACAATTTATTGTTCACTTGACAACACTAGCTCTCAGTGTTCAGGCTGCCAAACTTGCTGCTCCTGAAGTGTTATTCGAACCAAAAGAAGCAGATTTTAAACCTAATCTTCTTAATACTATTGTTTTCATTGTTACTTCCCTTCAAACAATTGTCACATTTGCTACAAATTATAAGGGAAGGCCATTCATGCAAGGCTTGACAGAAAACAAACCTCTCTTCTTCATTTTGGCAGGTATAGGAGCATTATGCATGTTATGTGCAAGTGGTTTAGTACCAGAATTGAATGCAACCATGGAATTAGTAGACATTCCTGAGGGAATTTCAGTTTTCCACACTTTTTCATTTAGAAGTTTCCTTTTGGTTCTTCTCTTTGCTAATATTGGAGCTGTTTTATTGGTAGAAAAGATGTGTGCTACTTTCTTCCCTGCAAGTGATTCAATTGATAATCTTTAGTTCTACAACAATACCTCTCCAATAAATTTACATGATTTAAGAATATCTTGTTTTCCTGATTTTGAAACACGACAATCTGTCAAATCTAAAAATCTCAAACTCCACGATCTTTTTAAATAATCAATAATCTCATCTCCTATCAGTGTGTGTGAAATAATGAGAAGTTGTAATCTTCTGAAACCCCTTTTTGAATCCACAATTCTATTGAATATTGCCTCACAAGCAGTGTTTGCAGCGATGTTTGTATGGCTCATATCCAATGAATGCATTCTTGGAGGTAAGGAGATTGGACTTTTAAAACAACCATTACTTATCTCATTATTGCGAGCAAGATTTAAAACCTTCAATGTTGATATCTGAAATATGGCATGACAACCAATATCGGTAATGTTATTCATTGACAAATCCAATTCTTCAATACCCCTATTTTCCTTTTGTGACTGAAAGTGCTCTGATATTTTTTGAGCACTACTAGAGGTCAACCCAGTATCAATCAGTTTTAGTATCCTTAGTGGTATTTTGCAATTTTCCAAAATAGTTTCAATATGTTGATTTGATATTGTAAAACTATTAATTTCCAAATATCTTAGATTGCACGATTCTCTCATACAAACATTATGGTTAATCTTTAATTTGGTAATAAATTTTGAAGGTATTAAATCCTTTTCATTCTGCAAGCTTTTTCGAACATCCAAACATTTAATATTTGGAAGCTTTCTTAAAATTGTATTCATTGATTCTGTGAATAGAGAAAGAGAATAATTTCCAGCAATTTTTAATACTTTGCAATTATTGATATTATCCAACAATGTTAAAAATCCAGTAAAATAATCAAGTGAACAAAATGATAGATCAAGGTACTCCAATGACTTGTTAGTACAAGTCTCATATTTTTCATGATCCAATTTGATACCAATATTGTATTTCAATGAAAGTTTCTGTAAATTTTTCATAGTGGTTAATATTTCAACCAAACTGTCGTCTGTTAAATCACACCCATCCAATGATAACTCTTTTAATGATACTTTTGATGAGCATAAGCTATGTACAATTGATTTAAATAATATTCGAGTTTCTTTAGAATATTCATCCTCCAGCTGATTATTTTCAATCGAACCAAAAAGATAATTTAGTTTCAGTACTTGTAATTTGGGTGAATTGTAAAATAATTTATCGAACCATCCAACACAATTCTGAATATAATCCAGAGAATTTCTGTAAAACTTCCGTTGACATGGAAATGTCATCCCAGAGAGATCTAAATATTTTAAATTATCCAACTTGTTTTCAATTAAAGCGTTGAAATTATGCAATAAAGAACTTTCATCGGATTTAATATTTAAATATCTAATAATTGAAATAAAACTTTGTTCTCTATTAATTATATTCATTCTACTTTTTAAAAATTCATTATTCCATAATTTTAAAACTCTATACGAATAGGGAGAAAAATCCAATTTCTCAATTGTTAAATTATTTTTTCCATGTTTTAAATATTGACTCATAAAATTGATGGGACTAGACAACTTGGAATTCAGAGTTAATCCCCTACAGTGTGATGGTATAAAGTTGGAAAGTACAGATATTGTAAGATTAAAATCTTGATTCTTTCCATAGGGCCATTCATATAAATTACAATATTTAATATTTGGCCAAACCAGAAATATTCTACTTCTTCCTCCTCCTTCCTTGTATCCAAATAGTAATTTAATAAAATAGGATTTCAAATAATATAATGGTGTTGATTCATCATAGAGAGAATATAAATTTTCCAGTAATGATTGTTGTTGATTTTGAATTTTACAATCCTCCAAATATTCAATAACATAAATTGAAATATTCAATTCTAAATATTCCATAATACAATAAACAATTTCGATTGGTAAATCAACATGGGCACGAAGCATTTTTTTTCTAATAACTTTTTAAATGTTCCACCAAAGAATGTTTTTTTCTCTAACAATATATTGTAAAGATATGTTTATTGGTATTTTTATTGCCTTAGAGAGCAAATCCAACAAGATTTACCAACACAATTTAATCTTGATTTCAAGAGAGAATGAGATGATTCATGCACCCTTGCTGCTAATAATAAAAAATTATTTAGAAAAAATGAAATTAACACAAATCAACTATCAAGAGGACGAAATAACAAAGGATTATTTGATTGGAGATTCTTGTCTAATCAATAATTTCGAATTAAAAGATACTAGGAATGATGAAATGAAGAGTTTAGAATTTATTTCCGATAACAATTCATCAATTTGTTTGTATGGTTTCCTTCAAAAACATCCAAGAAATACAACAAATTCTTTCTTCGTTAAGATTTTACATTTAAAACAGTGGAATTTTAGTGAAAGTGGAGATATTATTGTACAATCATCAAGATATTGGTACAAATTATTGAATCCATCCCCTGAATATGCTCCAACATTTGATTTGTTCGAGCAAAGACATAATCTATGGAGAGAATTAAAACCTATTTTGATGAGTTGGACGAGCGATTTATCTAGATGTGAGGAAGAAGATGAATTGAGCATGATTAAAAACAACATTACTATTGAAAAAGTTTTGCAAAAATTACCGAACACAAATGAAGATTATCTATTAGACCATGCCCAATTTTTATATGATCAAATACTTCAAGATACCTCATCCTTTTCCATTCATGGATCTGATGTGAATCAAATGATGAACACTCCATTACTATTCTCATTAAAAGAGAACCGATTCAAAAAGAAAGAAAATCAAATGATCAAAATTACAAAAGAAACTGCCTTGATGGATGGTATAGAGCTATCAGATTCTGACTCATATGACGAAAAGGATTTTGGTACCACATCTGAAGATGAAAGTGAGGATACTAATAGTGAGCCCACACAAAGTAAATCAAAAAGAAGAAAATATAAAAAGAGAGAAACTCCTAATAAGAAGAAAAAAACCAATCATGAAGAAAAGGGTAAAAGACAAAAGAAGGCTATGAAACAAGTATACACAACAGCACACAAAATGGAAGAAGGAATACCTTCACGAAATTATTTTTTAGAAAAAGAATTTTCACCTCAACTCCTTTCTGAGTTGAGTGTGAAATATGAACCTGGAATATGTCATTCTGGTAAGTTGATTGATTTTACATTCCTTAATAACTTGAATTTCTAAGTATGCTTCCAATGCAAAAAGAGAAGAATAGCTTGCTATAAAGAAAGGCCTGCATGTTCCAATTGTCTGAAAGAAGGTCTTCAATGTACATACCCAGAACTTATGAGGCTTTCACGTATGTTTCTTATTTTGTAATTAAATATTTAATATATTTACCTCCCAATAATAGCATGTGTTCCATGTGGAGAACGCGGTGGTAAAGTATGCAATAGAGAAAAACCAACCTGTGATATCTGTATAGAACGTAAGTATGATATTTTAATTTGGCATTTTAACATTTTGATATCAGGAAAAACCAATTGTTACTATTTTAGCTCTGATACTTTTCTCATTCTTGCAGAAAAGAATATTAATTCAGCAAAGGAACAAAACGAAGAAACCATTGAAAAGAAAACTAATATCACCACATGGAACGATGAAGCTTATTCTGAAATTTTAAAGGAAATGAATGAAAAGATTAACAAATATTCCAATGTTAAAGAAACAGAAATCTCAAAAATCCTTGAAAAAACAACCACTCAACAAAAGGTAACAACAATGGAAGATCTTGAAGATTTGGAAGAACAAGTGGTAAGATGGAAAGCAAAAGCTGAAAAGGAAAAGAAAAAAAGGATTGGAATCAAAGAAAAATTAGAACAATATATTGAAAAACTTGATGAACAATAGTAAATGTTACTTTATTCAAATTTTAAAACTAGCTTTCTAATTTTACACAAATCTCTAACCTTAGGTGGGGCAATTACAGGTTCGTAATGTGTGTTATCAACACCAAAATTAAATAATTCTTCGCGGTGTTGATTCACATTATTTTTAATATTGCCCATTTCTATCTCTGTAAAAATTCTACTTGATCTATAGTCATCTTCATTTTTCATTCTAATATTTGGTACTATTGAGTTTCTTTGACCTACCAAATCATCCCTCAAGATGATATTCGATAAATTCTTCCATTCTTCTTCAAAATTTTCAAAATCATCACTTTTAGAACTTGTCCATTTTCCAGTGACAAATGACGGAATAATTGGACCATATATTGTGTGGTCTTTTTCACCACCTCTTTTAACTTTTCTAGGGTGTAATGCTTTTGTTGTATAGTCAACATCCACAAAAGTCAATTTTGGTTTTTGTTGTTTTGATGAATGTGAATTTTCATTAGCCTTATCTGAGTATGTATAAATGTTATTTTCGTTTTCATCGAGAGATTTATCACTAGAATCATCAGAAAAATCGATTTCTTCAACATCATTATCACTTTCATTTGCTCTTAATTGGGAGATAATGTTGATATCTACATCAAATTGTTCGTCATCATCTTTATCTGCAAACCGTTCTCTAGTCTCCTCGTTAACATATGTTTTTGAGGATGTGTTCTCCTGTTGTTGGGATAGAGTTTGACATTCTGCTGATTTCCAAAGATTTATCGCCCTTCTGGACAAGACATTAGTGACTGGTAACCTTGCTTGTGTGACAGTTACTTTTTCTTCAATTACTTCAGTAGCTCCAAACCAAAATCCTAATCCAATTAATAGTATTGATATGAGAATAATTACTGATATAAATCCTATAGAATAAAGAGTAAAATGAGAAATTATAAATCCACACGATATGCCAAACAATGTGCAAACAGATGTTATGGAAAGGTTAAATATTTTGTTAGGGTGAATTGACCGTTTTGTTGAAGTTGATTTTTGTTGAATCATTTCCTCATCCTCAAATTGGCTCAAGTTTTGGTAGTCTTGTAAGATTTTATCAACATCTATTACTGATTGAGGTAATTCTTGATCATTATTCTGTTCTGTGAAAGTGTCATCAGGTTTGTTTTGTTCCTTTTCATCATCACTACTTTCAAAAAATTCCATGTCATCCGACGAATTTTCAGAATTATTAAAGTTTTTAATTTCCTGTAAGGAAGTAAACTGTGTTTTTTGATTTTTTTCTTCCAATTTTCTCCTTTGCTCAGATATAATATCATCATACTTATTGTCTATGCTAGTAGTCTCTATTTCTTGGTCACTTTCATCCCCTTCACTGTTGGCGAAAAATTCTTCTTCATCTATATTATCATCCTCTTGTGTTTCTTGAAGGGAATTTGAAGACATTTTTTTATCTGTTTTCAATAATAATAATTCTTTGTATGCTAAATAATAACATAAAAATTAATTATTTTTTAATAATTTATAATTTTATTCTAGTGATAATGGATTTATCTTCTTTCTCTTCTTTCTCTCTTTGGATATTCCTTCTTAACCTTCTTTTCAGAAAGGAACTTTGAGTGTTCAGCGAATGGAGAAACGAGTTGAGGATTGACGGTCCACAAATCTGGAGTCTTGAAGTTGTAAGTCTTCTTGATGGCAGCGAAAGTAGCAGAAACAAAGTTAGCAAGAGTCTTGGTGTTACCAACAGATGAAGTGAAAACATCAGAATAACCACCCAATGACAAGAGCTTCTTTGGAACAGGGGAAGCAACCAAACCAGAACCACGAGGAGCAGGAACCAATCTGACTCTGACGGAACCGCACTTACCAGTCAATTTACATGGAACAGTGTGTGGTTCACCGATCTTGTTACCCCAGTAACCCTTTCTGGTTGGAACAATGGACAACTTAGCCAAAATGATGGCACCTCTGATAGCAGTAGCAACTTCAGAAGCAACCTTGATACCCAAACCACAGTGTTGGACGGAGTCACCAACAACAACGACAGCCTTGAAACGAGTTCTTTGACCAGCAGTAGTTTGCTTTTGGACTGGAGAAATTCTCATGACTTCATCAGACAACTTTGAACCCAAGAAGTGATCAATGATTTGGTGTTCCTTGACTGGGATAGAGTGGACAAAGATGTCTCTAATATCCTTGACCTTACCTTCCTTGACCAATCTACCGAGCTTGGTGGTTGGGACCCATGAGCCGCTTTCGTCCTTTCTTGGACCTCTCTTTGGACCTCTCTTTCTTCTATCACCACCCTTTTGACCGAAGGTGTTTCTTCCTCTTCTTTCGCCAGCTTCTTGCTTTTGAACGTCAGTTGTTTGTTGCTTGTTATCGCTCATGTTGACTTTTTTTTTCGAACAAATTTTTAAAGTTGAGTCGTTCTTTTTCGCTTTTTACAATAATTTTTTTTATTCCAACAACAAACCTCGGTAAACAATTTGAACTTGCCGCCTTCAACAGAACAATTTTAATGAAAAACCAATCTTGTATTCTTATAATTAATAGGAAGATAAACATTATTCCTTTCTCTTTTCTGTTTTAAAAAGATTCATGATGACTCTACTACTTTTCATCGTAGCCATAACTAATAAAAATTTCATCTTTCAATCTCTACTGACATTTTATTAAAAAAAAGACTTTTGCACCTACCTGCCATCCTTCATCAGTGTACATTCAAATATGGCACCACAAAAACAAAGTTTGGATCATGTTCATGAAAAGATTGTTGTTCTCGGTTCTGGAGGTGTTGGTACGTACACAAATTTATTGTCACAATAATCCCACCAATTTGAAAAGGAAAATCTGCTGTCATTTTGCAGTTTATTCAATCGGTTTTTGTGGAAGTTTATGATCCAACATTGGAGGATTCATACAAGAAGGAGATTATTATAGATTCCACTCCTGTTACTTTAGAAATTATTGATACAGCCGGACAAGGTAGGTTTAATTTTGAAAAAGAATAACTTATTATTATTATTTTGAATTTAAATAGAGGAGTTGACAAGGTAAGAGATTTTTATGGTGGAAATATTTACATACATTTCATCAGTTTACGTGATAATTATGTTAAAAATGGGGATGGATTTCTTCTTGTTTATTCAATAACTTCGAGTCAATCTTTTGAGGAAATTGAAGATTTGATTGAACAAATTATGAGAGCTAAGAATATTGATTCTGAAAACCCAACAGAATTATCAAAAAATTTATCTGCTGTCATTATTGGAAATAAAGCAGATTTACAAAATGAGAGAGCAGTATCTAATCAATCATTACAAAAACTAGGAGAAAGATTCAAAGGTAAAATTCCAATATTTGAAACATCAGCAAAGGAGAAAATTAACATTGAGGAGTCTTTCATGGCATTGGCAAGACAAATTTTTGATAAAAAGACAGGTAAACAGCCTGCCAAAAAAGAAGGTGGAACATCTTCAAATAGCTCAGAATCGTGTTGTATTCTTTTATAAATAATTTTATTACCATACTTTAATTTTAAACTACGTTGCATGAGGAAATGCCTTATTGTTAGTATTGATATTCATGTTGCTTTTTTCTTCAATTATGGAAATTTTCAAAATCGCAATTAATTGCGTTTGTATTATTTTAAAAAATGATTAAACGTGTTTCATCATCTGCTTTAAAAACTAAATTACCTTCTCTCAACCTCTTGTTAGAAAAGTGTTATCAGACAAAATCCTTTTCCACTGAAGTAAATAGTGATGGAGTAGATAAAAGTGGATTAATTTGGAGAGAACCGGAAGAACTTGAAGATGAAATGAATATCAAAGGAATGATAAGAGTAGATCATGCAGGTGAATTAGGAGCAGTGACCATTTGCAAATCTCATAAAATTGTACTAGGAGAGGATCCGATTGTTAATGAAATTTTGAGTCAAGAGGTTGATCATTTTGCAACTTTTGACAAAATGATATTGGAACGAAGAGTAAGGCCAACCATTTTCAGGTCATTATGGCAACCTGCTGGTGTCATGTTAGGTGTTGGTACTGCCATGATGGGTAGAAATTATGCTATGGCTTGTCATGAAGCAATTGAAAATACTATTTTCGATCACTACAATGAACAATTAAGAGATATTTATGACATGTCTATTAAGAAGACAGAGGAAAAGAAAGAATCAGACTCGGAAACTGATTACTATTTCAAATCAGATCATCAAAGACAGGAAATTCAAGAAAAAGATCTCAGAGATATAATTAAACAATACAGAGATGAAGAATTACATCATCATGATATTGCAAGAGATGCCAATACTGAAAAGGAAAATTTACTTTACAAATTAACTTATGGATTTGTATCAACAGGATGTTCTATTGTTATTGCTCTTACCAAGAGACTTTAACTCTAGTTAATAATGATTTTATCATTGTTCATTGGGTAATCAGGGACATTATTTCGAATAATTACTTGATTTTGAAAATCAATAAAACTACACTTGTTGTGTGGGTACTTTTACAAATTTAAAAAAACAATCGCTGTTTGACCCTATGGTATTTTCACTTCCAAACCAATACTCAAATCTCTTTTGTTTCATAATTTGTTTGATTTTGCAATGTGTTGTTTCCTCTTTCCTACTAATCTTGAAAATTTTACTCTTTTTAACTCTAACCTTCTCCCAACATATAAATTCTGATGGTGATCCATACTTGGAAGAAATGATTAACTTCATATTTTCAAGCAAACTAAAAGGAAAATTATTTGAAACATCACTTGCAGTAATTGTGACATTCAATTCTGGACAGGTGAGCATTGGAGGTTCCTTTACTTCATTCCTTTTGTCATTGAATTGGATAAGAAAGGCATTGATAGACTTATCTTCTCCAACCATAAATGATGCTTGAATGATAGTCTCTCCTCTATTTACATCCAAATCATACATCATTGTATCCATGATACCAATATTTGTATTAGGCCCATTAATCGATGAATGAAAAGTTCTAAAAGCATTAATTCCAAATATTTGGATCAATTCTGAAAATGTACTAGAATCACAGAGAGCCAATTTGGAAAATGGATCGAATATTATTGTTTCTCGATTGCCATCATCTTGCTTTTGTAATTGAATATATTGAATATATGTTAATGATTGAAAATATTCTTGTAATTTGGAAAATATTTGACCGTCAGGACTATAAAAATTACTCTTAATGATTGATTGTATTGGTGTAATACTCTTTTCCACATCCAGAATATGAGATATATGAATCCATATTGGATTTTCCTTGACCAATTCTCGTATTTCCTTATTGATATTGAATAAAACAGAAATAAAATCAATCTTATCCACTGCAAATTCCAAAACAGTTAAAATAATTTCTTTTGGTAAATCCGTGAACTTTTGCTTGGTTGGTAGCAACATGTTAACAATAGCTTGATTTGATGCGATGGTAGTGTGGATGTTTTTTTAATTTTTTGAATTTAAAAATAGGATTCTGTATTACAATAAAATTCTAATAATAAAAATTGCTTGACAAAATATGACGGAACAATGCAACACAACAAACCAAAATTTGAACATCACTATGGAAGATATCCAATTAACTACAACCCCTCCTTCGAAGCTACAAACAATAGATAGGAGAAAAAACTTTGTTAATAGAAATGATCTGGTGAGATTGATTGTGCAAGCATTGTATACTTTGGATTATAAAGAAAGTGCAGATTTGTTGGAAAAAGAGTCTGGCATTGATTACCTTTCAAAAGATATTTTACAGTTAAAAAATTGTATTTTAAAAGGAGATTGGAATCAATCACTCAATATAATTGATCAAACACTAAACAACTCAAATTGTAAGAATATTAATGCCGTAAAGTATTACATACTCGAGGAAAAATATATGGAACAACTTTGTGATAGAAATGCAGAAAAAGCATTGATTACTTTAAGAGAAGAGATTACTCCTCTTGTAGTATCAATTCCCACTCAAAACAATTATACTTCTACTGTTACTAACAATAGTACAATAACTGTACATAATTTACAACAATTAGCAAGTTATCTTGTTTGCACTAATATAGAAGATTTGAAAAATTTGTCTAAATGGAAAAGTATCGAAGGTGGATCAAGAAATGAACTTTTGGAACAAATTCAAAAATTGATTTCCCCTTCATTGATTATTCCAGAAAACAAATTAGAACAACTATTATTAACTGCCGTAGAAAATCAAAAAAGAGATTCAATGAGTGATGAGGATATTGATGAAAATGATATGGATGAGTCTGAAGATGGAGTTGTATTGTTGAGCAAAAAGTTTTCAATTAATGAAGAAACTTCCATTAGGAAAATTCCAAACAAGATACTACTTACTTTGGAGGATCACGGTGACGAAGTTTGGATATGTAAATTTTCTAATAATGGACAATTACTGGCAACTTCTAGTATTGACCATTGTATCAATATTTATTCTGTTGAAGAAGTGTTATCGATAGAAAAAACGAGCCCAAAATTCAAATTACTTTCCTCTGGAAATGTAGTATCACTTTGCTTTTCCCCGGATGATAAGGATTTGCTAGCTGCAACATGTGACGGAAACGTACACATCTGGAATATTGTTAGTGGTGAACAAAGGGCTTGTTTGAAAAATTTTTCAAATATTGTGGCAGCTTTTTGGAATGAAAGTGGGAATCAATTTATTACTATTTCTTCTGAAAAAAGCTCACAAATATCTGTTTGGGAGAAAGATTCAGTTACCATTACAAAATCATTCAAAATTGATACACGTATTCAGGATGCTTCTTTATTGAAAGATAATTTAATTATCGTGGCTACTCATGAAAGACAATTACTTTGTTACAATTTGGAGGAGAAAAAACTTGTAGAGAAAATGAGTGAGGATTATCTCATAACAAGTCTCTGTTCTAGTAAGACTGGAAGATTTGTATTGGTTTCTTTCTGTTCTGAAGATGAAGATGAACCTGCTTTAATTCATTTATGGGATTTAAGGGAAAAGAAGATTATTTCAACATTTGAAGGTCTTTGGTCTTTAAAATATGTGATGAGACCAATTTTTATGGGAAGAGATTTGGTGAGTTGTGGAAGTGAAGATTGTAAAATTTATATTTGGAACAAATCTACTGGTGAGCTTATTGAGACTCTTACTGGTCATTCAGGAGTTGTAAACTCTGTCGATTACAATGTAAAGTTTGGACTGATAGCTTCTGCCAGTGACGATACAACAGTAAAGATTTGGCGTGATTAAAAATATTTTCAACATAAAAAATCTATTACTTAGTTACACCTCGGAACGATACTATGAACAATCAAGTTAATAATAAATCAAAGCCAAAGTACATGTATAAAATTATTTTTGTTGGAGATAGTACTTGTGGAAAGACGTATGTAATTTATGATCAAATAATAATTGATATTATTTTGGATTTTATTAAAGAGCATTTATTCAACAATATGTAAATAATTACTTCTCCAAGACTTATAAATCAACTCTAGGTGTGGACTTCTCATATAAAGAGTATGACTATGATGAAAATACATGTTTTAATTTACAAGTAGGTTAATATTTATGTAACTTATTAATTATTCCAAATCAAAGTTTTGGGTAAGTTTTGTATTTTCATATTATGTTTAATCGAATAATAGGATATTGCAGGACAGGAAAGGTTTGTTTTGGATATTATTAATTATTATAAAAATTGTTAAAGATTCGGAAGTAAGTACTTTCCCAATTGTTCCAATAATTAACAAAGATTAAAGCCATGACAAGTGTTTTTTATAGAGATGCTGTTGTTGCTGTGATTATGTATGATGTGACAAATCCTGTGACATTTGATCATACTAAAGATTGGAAAATTGATATTGATTCAAAAGTTTTTCTTCCACCACTCAATGAAAATGATTCTGATGATATTCCAATACCTTGTATTCTAGTTGGAAATAAGATTGATTTAAACAAACATGAGAAGCTTAATTTCAAACCAAACGAATTGGATGAATATGTTAAAAAACATGGATTTGCTGGATGGGTTGAAACAAGTGCAAAAGATAGGACAAATATGGATAAGGCTGTAAAAATGATAGTGGAACAGGTATTAAAATATCACGAGAAGGAAGTTCAAAGAGAAATTAGACCAGAAAATCCAATGGCAATCAATATCGATAAGCTTGTTGGAGATATGCCAAAGAGTGACGATGGATTGAATTCTGAGGATGCCAAGAAAAAGAATTCGTCTTCAGGATCTTGTTGTTCTAAATAATCATTTATAAAACATATGGAAATTCCAAACTTGACATTCAAGTAAAAAAATGACTTTAAGCAAACACACAATCATTCCTCCAACAATCATTAACTTCTTTTCCGATGATAATCATGAGTCACAATTTGTTATTGAGTATTCTATTCATAAATGTCCTCTACTGTTAAAATCCGATATGAACAAAATATTTCCAAGTGCCAAACAAATATTCGAGAAGCAACAACTCTACATAATACCAACCTTTCAACATGTATCATGCCCTCTGTTCGTTTTTGATGAGGAAAGTAGTAAACAAAAAGATGACAGACTTCATAAGGTTTGTTTTATAATTATTTGAGAGTTATATCGTTTCGTAGTTTTATTCATTTTCTAATTGTTTGAAAGAGTATATTGACACTTTATCACAAGGCTACTGGAGTGATTATACGGATCCAGTAACTGGTTATCCAATGTTATCAGAGAGAGGAGGAATGCTTTACAGTGATGTGGATGGTTGTGAAATGTTTTTAAAGAGCTACACCGTTGATTATTCAATTGCAGAGTGTAGACTCATTTCCCATCCACTTTGGAAAACTCAAGTATATCCTGCTACCTTTTTTACAACATGCCCTCCAGAACTACTTGCCGATTTTTTCAACCATTATAAACTTGTGGACAGTAATATTATTTAAATTAAAATAAAAAATTAAATTATATTATTTTAAAATTAATAAAAAAAATGAAAATCATCAAATCATCAACATCCTCCGTTTTGAATGCTTTTAACAGAGGAAGAACAGTATCACCTAAAGTTATTTTTCTTTCTGGAAATAAATTTACCATCAATAACAATAATTATCAAATAATTGCATTTAACAATGTTGGTGGAATGCTGAGAGCATTTTCTTCATTAAATTATTATAATAATATTTCCCAAAGTTCTACAATTATTAATATCAATACTGGTATTGAACAAGACATTAGGAAAGCAAAAGACTTGCTCAAGGAGGGGTTTTCCGAGTTTGAAAATAGGCAATATTTAAAAAGCTATGAGCTTTTTATTAGGGCCTTTTTACTTTTTGACAAACATCAATTATTAACAAGAGAAATTAAGTTAAATGATGATAATTTGACAGTTGACTCTTTATTAGCACTTTCAATTGGATTGAATAACTTTGCCGAAACTCTTAGATATATGGCAAAAAGTGGTATTGTGCCTCCAACTTTGGCCAAATTGGGACTTAAAGCACCGTCAGTAACAACAGGAACTACAGCTCCTCTTGTTTATACCTCAAAAGATTCAATGAAATTTTATACACAGGCAGAACAATTATATGAACAGTATCAAAATTTTCTATTAAAGAACCAATCAAATAATAATAGAAAATTATTGGAATTGACACTTTGGAAAGGTACTTTATATAACAATGTTGGACTTTATTTTATGGAAAATAGAAGAGATTTTTTCACTGCAACCAAATGGTTTGAAAAGAGTGCAACAGAAAGAGGAAAACTTGTGAAGGAATTGGAGGAATTAGAAAATGACAAGGCCACCAAACACGAGGAAGTTGTAAATCAATATGGAGAATCTGAGGACCCATTGAATGCCAACGATCAAAGAATACACTTTGCAATCACAAGAAACAATATTGCTCAATGCTATTCTAATTCTAAGCAAATTACTCTTGCCTTGGAAAGTTACAATTACGCTTTGAAGGTTTTTGAGGATATTAAGGCGAAATTGAAAGAGAAAGAAATCAAATGTATTACACCAGAGAGTAAGAATACTATTGCTAACAGACTTCACATAATTGTATTGAATAATATGGGATTAATGTATCATGATCTTGGAAAGTATGAACAATCATTGACATACTTTTCTGAAGCATTTTTCATGTTCACAGGTGGACCAGTGAATGGAGAAAAACTTGGTGAAGAAGGGCTTATTGTTAATAATCAAATAGGAACTCAATATTTTGGAGAAGAGTTGGGTGTTACCTTGTCAAATATGGGTACAAGTTTATTCATGTTAGGTAGATATAGAGAATGTGAACAATTTTACAGACAAGCTATGGGCTTATTTGATGTTATTTATGAAAATACTCCAAACCATAAGAATATTGCACAAGTTAGTCTTCAATTAGCCCTTTGCTTGAAGCAAAAACATTCAGCAAAGGAGGGAGAAAAGCCAAACAAGGATTTACTGGCTGCTGCTACTTCATTAGCCCTCGCCAAACAGGACCCATCCTATTTTATCAAACTTGATTCGAATGCATCAGAAGAAATGATTGGAGATGAAAAGCAAGTTAGGCACTTGATAGAAAAGGCCAAGAAAATAACATCAACCTTTGCGGATGCAAATACAGAAGCAGTAGAGAATACCAAAAAGTCAATGTTTTCTAAAATGTTTGGAAAGAAAAAATAATTCTTCATCTCATTTTGGAATACTTACAAACTTGTAACGTTGTTTACAATAAAAACAAATGAAACAAAACCTCTCTGCAGAACCCTCTACCGAACATATTTTCCCAGTCTTTATTAACGCCCAACTTTTTAAACCTCTCTCAATTCAAAAACCAAAACGTTTACTCAAACGCTCTCCATCAATAATCACAACTGTCGATGTGCAACATTTAGGAAGAGCCTTCTCTGCTCAATTAGTACTCCAGTTTAGAGGTGAGATTGACAATGATCTCATCTATAAGAATTTGATAAGAAAGGCTTTGAGACCTCTTAATCCGGAAGACTACAATCTAAATGTTCAACAATCAATTAGGGCATCTAGAGAACTTATTTCCAAGTTAAATGAAAATGTTACCACAATGTTCTTTATTTAATAATTTGTTGATATTGGAGCTGCTAGAGCTGAGTTGATTGGATATGTATTTTTCGAACACTTGAATGTAGATCCTTTTTTGATCATGTAGTATGCTTTCTTTTGCTTTACCAGATCAACTCTTAAATCTTGTACCGCTTGATAGGACATGTGTGAATAGTCTCTAAAAAAGAAAATAGACCTCAAAAGTAAAACAGCACCAATAACAATTGAAGCAAAACGTAATTGATTTCTAATATTCCTGTAAATATTCTCATTCCAGATTAGTGAGTGTAATACTTTTTCTATGATATAATTCACAGTAATTAACAAAAGGAGGTAAACTCTCGCCTTGCTAGTGCATTTTGTGCTTGTCAATAAGAATGACATAATTACTGAAAAGAAGTAAAAGAGAAACGATTTAAAGTCCATAAACTCTCCAATCAAAGTTGTGTAATTATGTGATATTCCAATAATCCCATCCAGAATTTCCCTTACATGTTCATGTTGCGCATTAATATTTTGAACGGTCTCTTGTGAGTTACTCAAAATTTCAACCAATGTTTTTTGTGCAGTTTTGAATAGATTGACCTGTTCACTTTTCAACTTATCAATAAATATCTCATATTCTTTTTGTTTCTCCATTAAAATTTCTTGGTTTTTCATTGAAATTTCAATGTTGGATCCTATCTCGGTTGTATATTTTTCAATAATGCCCAGCTTACTAGACGTTATTTGAGCTATACTATTCTGAAGATTTTGTAACAATTGTTGTCCTTTCAATAGCTTTTTTTGATTTTTCATAGATCTAACAGTGTTGTCACTAATAATACTTTGTTTTTCTTGGAATGAATTTAAAATGTTGAGAGTATGTTCTTGGTCTTTCCTTATTTTTGTTGAATGGGAGATAGATTGTTCTAAAGATGTCACTAATTGCTGATTGGATTTGTCAATATGATTGAAACCATTTAAAACTTCTTGTCTCATCATTGATTGTTCATCTGAAATGAGTTTGGATTCTTCATATAAGGATTTCGACATTGAATGAATATGAGAAAATTCTTTTTTCAAGCTCTCATAAAACTCCAGCTCTAATTTTTTCATTAGCGAAAGTGCCTTGTCAAACTTGTTCTGCTCTTGCAAAATTCGGGTTTGAATTTCTTCTGAAAAGGAGAGAGTTTCCTTAATATTCATCGATTGCTCCTTTAGATTTTCAATTTCACGGAGGGAGTTCTCTGTTTCATTTACCAATTGCTCCACTAGTCTCTCTGATTCTTCTTGAAAGGACTCTGATTTGATGTAGAAACAAATTTGATCCACATGAGTGCTGAATTCAGTGTAAGCATTAAAAGCTATTGGAGATGATATCATGTCTTTTGTACACTCTTCTACAGTCATCATTTCAGTACACTCAAAGGTTTTCAGTCCAGATTTTGCTAAATGGCAGTTGGTTAATTGAATTGCAAGTTTACTTCTAATCTCTTCTCTTGTTTTAATTTCTTTGCATGAACGAGTCATGGAATCAACAGCAACCTTCCAACAGTTCGACCAATCTGATTTAGCTTGATATTTTACTAACAAGGTTTTACCTTTGTCTTGTTGATCATGGAAATCTTGAATGTTGAAAATTGACCAACAGAAAACATCACTATTCAAACCAATAATGCAGATGGCTATTAGGGCTACTAATTGTTTGTTCATTTTTTTAATGTTAATTGTAAAAAAGAACAAACTTACATCAATTAAACATTAATCTCCAACGAGTGGCAAATCTTTTTAAACACTTCTAAAGTTTGGTTGTTACACGATGGATGGGAAAATGTATTTTTCAACAGTTCTAATGTTGGTCCTCTCTTTAGTACTCTTTTAGCCTTGAAAAAGTTAATTATGACTTCAATCTAACAACTTACATCAACATAAAGTGAAAGGTAGGTCCACATTAAGTTGGCGGAATAATACATGATGGATGTATTACCTTTGAGAAGTGTTGCTATTTTTAGAACTAAAACACACAATTCTTCCACTCTTAATATTAAGGTGCTCATACTTCTACAAAATAGTAGATTTCTGAATATTATAACGAGATATTCTTTCACTGCTTCGTTTGGGCTTTTTTCGAATTGTTCAAATAAATGGTCAATAGTATCAGATTGTAAGAAAGATTCATGGCAATCTTCAAAGAATGACAAATGAGACAACAGCTTTAAACAGTATTCCATTCTTGTGTCATCTTTCTTCTTGATAAATATTTCTTTAAGACCATTGATGATTTTATCAACTAGTCCATACTTTAACATGGAATATCTAACCTCTCCTGTACTAATCAGAGAACTTAATAACATGAAATAGGCATGACTATTAGTGAGCTTGCTTTTGGCTGATAATGATCCGCTAACAATATCAAGTAGAAGAGAATTGTTTTTGTTCTTGTTAATATCTTTTGCAAACTCAAGTTTGCTTCTCTCACAATTAGTGACCATATTTAGATAAACGTAAAGCAATGATAACCTTATTTCTGAGTCTGTAAAATCAGAGAACCAAATATATTTTAGATCTTGAAATAGGTTAAAGTCATTAGATACCTTCTTGGCATGGTTAGATAGAAATAAGTGTTGGAAAATGGAAAGGTTGAGGACAAGTTGATGTTTTAGCTTATCAATACTGTTACACTTTTCTGACCTGGAGGTGTGCATAAAATCGATAGAAAGGGAAGAAACAATCTTTCTGTTGAATGTACAATTACTCTCAATTATAGACTCTTGAACCTTTTCTTTTGTGGTTGTGTAAATGTTCAGAATCCAAGATAGAGATTTACCAAGTATAAAACATTCCTCACAATCGATATTTGCAAAAAAGTTATCTTGACTTGAATAGTACAATCGTTGAATCTCGTCCACTATTTGCATCACATATTCATTTTCTCCTAGTTCAGAATTATATGGAAAACATTTTCTTCCAATTAGGGTTGTTACATATTTTGAAACTGTTATATTCACATTAATAGAGAGTGATGACTGGAGGGTAGCAGAAATAATTTTTAGAGTATTTTCCCTAGTTTTCAAATATTCTAGAGATAGATCATCATTTTTGGCAAATGCAACTAGATTATTCATAATACAAAACGCTAATTCTATCAATTTGTCAGTTTTCTTAACTGTTAGTAATGTTCCAACAATCTTTTGTATATTATCCACCAATGTAGTGTCTCTGATCAGGTATGAAGCAATATCATTATTGTTTTGTATGATTTTCTTAACAACTTTCAATAAATTTTCTAAGGAATTATAAGAGATTGTTCCTAAATAGGCTACATCCTCTAATTTTTGCAATATATAATTTAAAGAACTGTTTTCAAAGAGAACCTTACTCTGTGAAGATGGATCCCTCAGTAATAATTGATATATAAGAGCAGTTACAGATTCTAAATTTCTATCTCCTAGATTGAATAATTGTGGGAATGGAATACATTCCAAAAATCTATTCAAAGGCTCTGAGCTTAGAGAAATGTATTTACATATTATCCAAATGCATTGATCCTTAACTATGTCAGTATCTGCGCTGGAAAGTTTGCTCACTATTAATTCTACCAGCTTTGGGTTTGATTTCTCTAACAGTCCAAAAGTTTCTTTGGTGTGCAATCCGTTCGAAATTATGCTGAAAATGCTCTCTCGTACATTAAAATTTTTCGAAAATATTAAAGAAAGAAATATTTCGTGTTCTTTAACAATATCTATCCACGATATTTCGTATTTTCTTAATAATCCTGAAAGGGACTCTAACGACTTCAAACAAATGTGTTCGCAATGTGACCCAAAACAAACTCCAGCTTCAAACGCTTCTCTTTCTTGTAAGAGTACTTGCAAAATATCTTCAAAAGTGGATTTCAATATCTCTAAACTATCAATAGAGAATATTTTACCACTCATTCCAATCCTACAAATACATCTTAACGAGTCTACTCTTAGATCATAGGGAATCTTCTTTTTGATAAAATTTCTTAGGGAAATAAGTAGCAACTCATCATTCAGTAATAATTTCAACTCATCTACACACTCTTCTTCCTGTAGGGATTGTGTGCAAAAATCTAAAAATTTCAGCATACAAGCCCTTAAGCTTGTACGATCATGAACCAGGTGATCTGTTTGGCTTGGTTGTAAAATAGTAATAAAGTTTTTGCAAAAACAATAAGAGAGTTCAGAAATCAAATCCCTCTCAAATCTCTTTTTTTTCGCTATTGTAGAGAAAAAACCTATTAAATTTTCCAAAACAAGATCATCTGCTTTGCTGGTAGGCGCTTTTTGTAAGAACTTGAAGATTACTCTTCTCCAGTCACTTTCACAAAAGATATCGAAACAATGTTCATCCATCATTAGAAAGTCCTGAAGAATTTGAAGATTTGTTAGGAATTCTCCATGACTTCTAGATTGTGAAAGCTTTAAAAGTGAGTTCTTAATAAAAATTTTTGGATGGATTTCATAAAGAACTTCAAATTGTTGGTCTTCTGAATTTTCGGTGAATGATTTGTTAAATTTGAAAAAATTCACTAATTCTGTTGAGTAGACTTTCGTATCACTTTCACATTCAATTTTGTAAAATGAGGAGTGTGGAAATGTGTAAAATGATTCTGATATATTTTTTAGAATTGGATTTGCTTTCTCATTTGTTTCAAACACCATCTGTGTTTTGAATCCATTACTATTCCTTACATATCTGTCCTTAGAAAACACTATTCTACTTAGAAACATAAAAGAGAGCTTTCTAACTACTAAATCAACATGGAAAAGTACTAAGGGAACTAAGAAAATAGAATATGACCAATTAACTTACATTTGTATAGGGAGGAAAGTTTGGATTCTTCCATTGCAAATTCTTTGTTATCAAAAATAAGAATTAATAACACAAGCAACTCCTTAGAAATATTTTCTAATGTTCTGTTTAAGACTATTTCTGCTACCTCCTTAGATAAAATTTTGCTGTTGAGTGGTTGAATTCTCAACAGAGTACATAATTGATTAGCAACTGATTTCAAAATAAGAGAGTCCTCTGTGTCTCTCATTAGTGATACTAGTGATTCAATATCAATATCAAAACTATCATTTGGGATGGGTGAATCAAAAAATCTATCCACATCCTCTAAATAGCAACTTAAAAAGGGATCACCTTCTTTGAGTTCGATATAATTTTCTGTTTTCAAATCTAAAATAAATAGAGATTTGAGGTTAACACTTGCTGTCTCTCTAATCCACTTATATTTGTGGAATAAAAATCTCGTGTGATAAGCCAATAGTTCTTCCTTTGTCATTAGTCTTTCAAATAATTGAAGAGTAGAAGTAACTTCATCTAAACTATCTTTAGCTGAGAGAATATTTTCAGAGTATTTGATAGTGCATTGTAATAAGGGAAGGTTTGGTAAAAATCCTCTTATTGAACAAGGACTGTTTTGAACGATATCCAAAGTAGTCTTTACCGATTCTTCCAATTCTATGGAGTGAAGAGATATTAGGTAGAATATATCTTCAGAAGCAAGCTTTTCAAGAAACACATGTTGATCTTCTGCAATGAATTTAATTGCATAGCTTCTAATATCCTTATTATTACAAGAAAGCAAGTCCAACAACAACTCTCTACAAGAATCTTCTAAAAACTCGGATGTTATAAATAATTCTTGCATGTATCTTTCTAAAATTCGCGCATCGAATGTATGTGGTAGTATTAGAAATATGTTACGAAGCCTGCTTAGATGTGCTTCTGCATCAGGTAGTACATCACAATCTTCGTCCATCAATTGTTCCAACAGCTTGAAAGATTTTTCAATCTCTGGGAGTGTATTGAAATTGTTGCACGCCTTATTCTCAAAACGTTGAACTTGATTCAAAACTTGTTTGTGTATTTGAGGAAAACACAAATATAAATTATTGTCAAATAAAAAATTCTCCAAAATAGGGCTAAGTTTTTCAATACAGTCCATTAACTGAAATTAGTTAATAAATAAGGATAAATATATTAGGATACTTACGATGGTAGAGCTTGATCTGTTCAAAATTGTTGTTAGTAGATCGACAATTTTATAAGTATCCAAAATATCTAGTTTCTCGTGCAATAAATTTCCAATATCCTCATAAATATTTATCAAACTTTCCATTAATGTGAGCTTGTCTAATGAACAAATTTGTTCTAAGAAACAATTCAAAATCAATTTAAGGATATCAACAAGTCTTCCCAGCAATGAAGGTTTAAGTTTGAAAATATATATAAATTTAGAATAACAATATTTGAAAATATATAGCATTGAATCAGTGTCAACAAATGTATAGCTCTCTAGAGAATTATTAAGAATTTTCAAAGACGCTTTGTCAAATAAAACACTCAAACATTCTAAAACTTGTAAATCTATTGCCATTCCAAAATCACTCTGAATCGATGACACCAAGGACTACATAATTTAAGTCAATTAATTGATCTCAAACTTACCCTAATAATTTCTGGGCTTTGAACAAAGTATTCGATTGGAAACTCCAATAAGGGTGATTTTTTGAGATCTGAAAGAGCCTCTTGTATCAAGTCCACTCTCCTTTGTTGAAGTTTTACGTTGATTTCAAATAAATATTGTTTGTCCAATTCTGCCAAATCAGCTTTTTTAATAGCCTTCCTAGTATTTTTTGGTTCTTTCTGTGGCATGTTTTCTCTTGTAGAATATATCTGAAATCGAGAAGTATGTAAATCAGTAGATGATTGATTTAAAATAGATTGCTCTTGGTAAATAGTGACAATATTTTCCTTCTCATTTCTTACTTGTTTTAATACTTCCACTATTGAATCAACATCGGAATGAATATCTTCAGGAGCATACAATCTCAAAGTTTGAAAAAATCCTATAGCTCCAATCTCTATCAAAATCAAAGCACTTGTTTTACTCTGTTCTGAGTTAGTGTTTTTGGATATTGTTACAAACCTTAGCAAATTCTCGCACAAGTTGTATTACTTGCCGATAATAAAAACAAGGATTATTGTTGAACCATTTCAACAAGGCTACTAATAGCTGCTCATCATCCTCGGAAGACTGCACATTAACAACTCCATATTTGAATTTATTTAATAAATTTGCCATTGCTCTCTTCTTAATTTCAATGTTGGGATTATCCAACTTTTCCAGCAATCCCGAACAAGTCATTTTTTTTTGTATTCTGGATTGTTTCTTTTATTAGAACTTAGTTAGTGAATAGGCAAAGAATTCCATCATCACCTCCACTTACAAGGTACTTTCCATCAGGATCAAATTTTACTACTTGCACTCCTTCCTTGCTTCCCTTCAAATCTCCAAGAGTAAAGTTTGATTTAGAGCTTTCTTCTTGGTCTTTTACTCCATCTGGTGCAAACAATCTTACAGAACTATCTGATGAGGCAACCGCCAGCACTTTTCCGCTCTGATCAAACGTACACTTGTTTGCAGATACAGGTACATCACTTATGTTGAATTGATTTCTTATTTTTTGGGTTCTCATATCCCACAACAAGACCAGACCATCACAATCAGTTGAGGCGATAGTATCTCCTTGGAGATTAATTGTAACACTATTACAACTATTCTTATGCCCATAATAAGTCTGAACACAAATACTCTTACTGTCAACCCTCATATCCCAAAGAGAAAGTGTCTTATCTGCTGAAGCTGAGAGCAATAGATTTGTAAAAGGAACACAAACCACACTATTTACACTGTCCTTATGTCCTCTAAAAGTTGTGACGCACTTCTCAGATCTAATATCAAACAACTTTGCTGTTTGATCCATTGAGCAACTCACTAAAAAATCTCCTGAATGGTGGAACTGACATTCCCAAACAGGAAGTGTATGGTCCTCAAAAGTTGAAGAGCAACTGGCAGTAGTAAAATCCCACAACTTGACTGTACAATCACCTCCAGAAGTTGCCAAATGAGTCCCAAAAGGATGAAAATCTATTCCACTCACCCAATCAGTATGACCCTCACCGCTCATTATCACTTTAGAGGTTGGTAATGACCAAGCTTTCCAGGTTCCATCATCTGAAGCTGAGGCCACTATTGGTTTTTTGGAGTGAACAGCTAAACCAGTTATTGCCATAGAATGACTTTCATAATTTTGAGTAAGAGTGAAGGTTTCAGCCATTACTCTTGAAAGCTTCTTTTCCTTATAAGGATTCTTTTTTTCAAGAGGAAGAGTTGAATCCTTTTTCTTTACAGATTTCTTTTGAGTGTTGGTAATTGATGATTTCATTTTCTTTTTTTCTATTTCTTGAGTATTTACACTAGAGATTGGCTCGGTTTGCTTAAAATTGTCGAGCTCATTCAATCTATTAAGTAGCCTATCCCTTTCCAAACAAACGAGTGTCTTTTCTTTAAAAACCTTGTCATATTTAAGAGTAAGTTCAGCAATAAAAGGTTCGTACTTGGCGCAGTGATTTCTCATTCTTTCTAATTCTTTCCTTAATTGATCCTTTGTTTGGACAGTTTGCATATGGTTCATTTTGTGGTGATCTTTCACCCTTTTGAGCTTTTCAAACTTTTGTACAATATTTCTATTTCTTTCAAACAATCATATAATAAATGATAAACTTACTCTGAGAGCTGTTTTTGTTGTTCCATTTGCTTTTTACAATAACTAAGCTCTTCTTCCACTCTCTGAAGTTGGATGTAAACATCAGGGACTGAATCAGCAAAATCCTCAATTTCTCCTTTTTGTTTTTTTTCATATAATTCATCATTGAACATTCGTAAACTGTCCTCCAAACCCCTTTTTGAAAGAAAATTTCTAATAAAATCTTCTACAACTTCTGGTTCTTTTTTCAATTCTGGAAGAGGTGCTTGCTTTCTTTTCAATTCTGGAACCTTTTCGTCTTCTTGTTTCTTTTTTTTCTTTTCCAACAATCTAAGAGTACCTTCAAGAGTGTTATCATCATCCTCATCCTCATCCACCATTAATGTATTCTCGCTATCAAGTGATCCTCTTGGAGATATATCCAGCACTCTTGATTTCTGTTTTTTGGATTGAAATATTTCCTCCTCTTCCTCCTTGAGTTCTCTGAAATACTCTTCATCCTCACTATCCATTAAAGCCGAGTAAAGCTCACTCCTAGTTAATTTAGCCTCCGTTGTAGCATTTGCCTTCATTTTTTTACGATTGTTTTTTATAAAGTTGTACCTGTTTTTGGCGCCAAAAATATAAATGAAAAATTTTAATGAAAATTACCAACTATCCACATCGGATCCATCAGAGTCATCTTCTGATTGTGGACGTTTTGGTGGAGGGGGCATTTTAGGCAATTCGGTAGCAGCTGAAGAATCTGGTGCTGTCGAGTTTGGGGTAAGATTTGGAGTTGGGACTGGTGGAATAGGTTCTTCTGGTTTCTTTTCCTTCTTTTTCTTCTTTGGTTTTTTTTCATCCTTACTTCCCTCAATGGCATTTCTTCTTAACCCAATTTTTCTGAATAAATCTGTCATCATGTCACCACCTGAAGACTTTTGAGGAGCAGAAGCTTCTTTGGAGGATTCCTTATCACGAATTTTGTTGGCTTTTTTAAGTTTGTTCTTTGAGAAATTTCTAATAGAAGCCAAAAGATCGCTTCTATCACCTCCTCCACTTTCTGTATTCTCATTTTCATCTGTATCATTATCACCAGTACCTTCTGCACTTGGTGTTACGATCGGAATAGAAGGTGGTTGAGGTACGCCACTTGGAGGTGGTGGTACACTACTAGATGACATTACAGGAGGTGGTGGTACATTACCCATAGTGACAGGAGGTGGTGGTACAACGCCTGTAGAGGTAACAGGAGGTGGTGGTACATTTGTTGGTACAGATGGTATTGATGAAGATGTTGGATCAATTGAAGATGGAACTGCATTTGTGTTGAGAGATGTTGTACTATTGTTATTTCCTAAATCTAATGAAGGTAGAGAAGAAGGAGCAATGGATGGCATATTATCTAAAGATAAATCCCACTGGGCTGTATCCACAATATTTGGTAATCCTAAATTGGAAGGAAATTCAAACATTGGCAATTCTCTTCTTGTAGGTGCAAATGCCTTAATGTTTTGTTCCTGACTTGCCGAACTTCCCCAATACATATCATAGATAGAATCTTTGGACAGAGAAGGAGGAGCTGGATCAATATATAAATTGTTAGCGGAGGCAAAGTCATGATTCTTATCGTTTTTGTTTGATGTTCCTTCCATGGCCATCATCATCATTGTGGTATGATAATTTGCCTGAAGAGGATCGGCACCATGATACTTGTGATAAACATTCATATTGGTATTAAAACAAAGTAATTCACTAACAGATTGTACATTCTTGAATGGTAGTTTACCTACTCCTTCATCTAATTTCTTTGGAATTTTGTTGTGTGATTGTTTGTTTTGCCTTGTAGGAGACTTTTCGAAATGTTCAATAGGATTATATAATTTATGCTAAATTATTTTGTGATGATCAATTTTAAATTTCCAGATTAAAAACTTACATTGAAAAGAATATTGTTCGGACCAGGATTAAACTTGTGAAACTCCATTTGTTGAATCCCAATTCTGTCACGAGCTGCAAAGGTTGGTGAATATTCTACATTACTGATATCCTTGTCTGGGTAGTGTGGGCTACTGAGAACTCTGGTTGCTTCATTCTTCCTCTCTTTTTGTACCCATTCTACTGCTTTTTTGCAAACAGCAGCACGTTGTTGCACTTTTTGAAGAGTATTTCTTTGCTCGGTGACTTTGTCAGTTATTTTCTGGAATACAGATACACTAATTCTTTCTAGGTGTTCCAAGGAATCCAACATTTGTTGGATATTTTCAATCCTGTTTTGTTGGTAAACAACAGGAAATTCATAAATATGAGGTATTGCTGACATTTTTTTTAATAGATTTTTTTAATGTCTCCGAGAACGGTGTTGGATTCTCCTTGAAAAATATTTAGGACAAGGTGAAATTACCTGTAGTACAGACAAGCCCTATATCCACTTTTTGATCTTTCTTGACTTTCCTCAGTCCAGTATCTAGTGGAGGTTTTAATTTTGGTTTTTTCTTATAGCTGGCATTCTCCTCCTTGTGATGTGATTCTTCTGCCGAATTGTTGGGCAGATTTGTGGAAATGGAAAGCATCTCACTCATGGAAGCTGGTTGTTTTGTCAGATTAAGATTTTTTACAGCATCGAAAGGATTAACAGTACTAAAATCATACGTATCTCTGGGTGCTTCATCTATTTCACTCATAGCACTTCTGTTCAATCCAGAACTTGAGGTATTCTCTTCCAGAACCATTTTTTGGAATTCTGTTACTAGACTGTTTCCCTTACTCTTATTTTTCCTTGTTTGATCATGTTGTGAATAATTCTCAGAATTTTCCTTTACATTTGGAGAATATGGGTTAAATAATTTCAGCTTTGTTTCTGAAAAAGTGGTTGCTAGTGCATATAAACTTTTCTTTGGTTTTGGAATTTTCTTTTTCTGTTTGGACAGTTCCTTTTCAATCATTACATCTTGAAGATTCCACTTTTTAGTTTGGAGGGTTGGTTCTGATTGCTTCTTGGATGGAGCTGATTGTGGTCTTGAAATTTTTGCTTGTTGCAAAGTTTCTGATATTTCTGAATTGGAAACAATTGATTGTCTTCTCTCACAATGTTGAGAATTACTGTCATTTTTGTTGTTTGATTTTTGATTACCAAATTTCACTTTTCTGCTTACATCATTAGAAAACAGAGTACTATTAAGATGCTCAATTATGTTTAGTTGTTTCAAAATATCTTCCTTATTCTTTTCATGATATTCTAATAAATTAGAGGAAGTTCTTGTGGTATCAACTAAATTAGGACTAGCCGATCGCAGGGTTGAGTTACTGGGAGTAAGAGAGTTCTTATTTTTTGGTGGAATTTGTGCAGCTTCTATCTCAGGTGCTATTCTTGCTGGATGAACGGTGTTCAATACTGCTTGGAGTTGGAATCTTGTCAATCTCTTTCTATGTTCATAAATTCCCTTTAAATTTGCTTCTTTTTTTCGTGCTTTTTCTTGAGCAATCATAACCTTGTACTTTTTTTTAAGTGTCCACTTTATCTTCACTTTATCCTTATTATTAATTTCAGAAAGTAGATTGAACATTTGGCATAATATTGAATTTTCGTTAAATAAATCTGGAGATATTCCTTTTTGTTTTGTTAGTTCTCGTTTTGTTGAGCTTCTTCTGTATTCTATTGTTGGAGGAATTAACTTTGAAGAGCTTGAAGTCGATGCCACCAACAAGTTATTCGAACTTACACTTCCCAGTATTTTTTCAACCCTTAGCTGAGAACCACACCTTTGTAATGAGCTCTTCATTGATTCAATTCTTTTTTTAAGGTTTGCTGTGCCTAGCTTTAGTTTATCCCATGTGGTCAAACTTGAAGTTTGACTAGAAATTAATTTTTCGCTATCAACTCTTTTAGGAGGCATTTCAGGAAAAGAGTCAATATTCTTCTTATTTGAATTGTAAGTTTTCATACCTTCATATTTCACCTTCTTTCTGTCTCTGACATACTCCACATTGTTTGAATTATCAATAAAAATTTTAAGAGTTGATTTCTTCCTTGTCTGATTTTCTATCAATTGCTCAACCTGCTTTTCTAATGAGTTATTGTTAAAAAACGGCTGCGTTGAGCCTGGTCTAGGATTTTCAGGTTTTCTTTGGGTTGAATAGAGAGTATCCATAGCTTTCTCCAAATTTTTAATAACATTATTCGATTTAGGTTCTGGAGTATTTGTAATTGGCCTTGAAAGAGGAGCTGATCCTGATCTCTTTGATGTTAAAGTCCTACTGAAATGAATTCTTTGGTTGATGGCTTTTTGAAGATTGGATTGATTATTTTTGGTTGCTGGATTTGGTTGTTTCAAGGTTCTAAGGGAAGGAGTTGGTCTTTTTGTTTTGTTATTTACATTATCATAATTTACAGTATTTGAGTTATTTTCAAAAATTGGAATTTTGAATTCGTCTTTGAGCAGGTCTTTGATTAGTTTGTCTTGTATTTCTTCTAAATGACTACAAGGTAAGGCTTGAGATTGGTCCACAGTACTAAAAGGTTGTGAGTTAGATTCTTTCCCAATTATAGGAGTTTCAACTTGGTGTAAGCAAATTGGACTTTCCGGCTCTATTACCACTCGGTACGATAGTCTTGAATCGGATGGTTGGTTTACTCTAGGTGATGGGTTTATGGATGATGCACCTGAGGAAAGATCATCAAATAAACTGTTTTCAATATCATCAAATTCCATATTTCCATATCGTTGATTTACTCCTCTATGTACAAATAATTTGTTATGGTTATGATGATGTGGCTGATGAAATAATTTAATGTTATCTATAATAATAAACTCGGAGGAACAACCTGTTGAAGGTTGGTTAATTATGGGAATTGGTGATTGTGGAGGTATCCCAATCACAATACTATCAAAATCTCCAGTTGGATAAGGACAATCACTAAAACCCCCTCCTTCTCTGAATGCATTTATGGAGGGGTTTAATGACATCTTTTTTTTAATGTTTTTTACAAACACAAAAACAGTTTTAATTTTGGCGCCAAAATTTAATTACATCAATTTTTCTGTGCTTCAAAAACAAGAGACAATAATACCTTTACCCATTCATCTCTCTTTTCAATTTCATGTTCAATAATTTCAAAGTTTAAAATTACAGTAGGGGAAATAATAGAGAAGGTAAGTTGCTCTCTCTTGATTTCTCCATATTCTATTAAGGTTTTTGTTTGGAATCCTGGAAGAATATCTACTATATCTTTTAGGTTCAAAACAATCTCTTCACCATTCATCATGTTTAGTACAAGCACCTTCCTGTCTGACTTTAGAGATATATTGGATCTTCTTAGAGGATTTGCCATCTCTCCTGTTTCTTCAATTAGAACGAACAACTTTTCAGCGTCTAACTTGTCAAGATATGGAATTCTATTATCTTGTTTTCTTTTAAGATTATGATGGAATGGTGAAGACAAAACAGTTTGATAACCAACTCGTAAGATTTCATGATTTGATTGTATCTCTTCAAATTTCTTCAAATTTGGAATAACTGAATCAGAGTATGATGATATAATTTTCTTTTTTGTTTCTAACCATTTGTATTCCAAGTCCTTTTCTTTGAGATCGTTTTTGAGTTTTAATAACTCGTTAACATTGATAACTTTAGGAGGTTCTGGTACATCAGAAAGTAAATTTTCAAACCTAGATTTGACTAAGTATTCATCATTAAGAGGCCTTTTTGGTTTTGAACTTTCCAAACTTTGTACTTCATATGGATAATCATCATATGGATTGCTATCTATCATTTCAATTATATCTGAAACATCTTCTCCAATGAGAGAGGATACTTTGTGAATGGCTTTCTTTAAAATTTCCTCCTTTGTCTTGTTGAGCTTTAAGATTCTCATCATTTCTACATATTCATACAATTTTTCATCTTGGCTTTGCTTCTTTTGTTCTGAAAGGAATTGGTTGATTACCTTTTCACTAATACATTGATCTTTAAGTGATTCTGATCCAATAATATTATTAAATGATGGAGTGAAACCTTTAGCCATTTCAATAAATTGGTTAGTCATGTCAATTTCAGCTTTAACTTTTCTCAGCATGAAATGTTCAGCAGTTCCATAACGATTTTGCTTTTTCTTTTGAAGTTGTTTCTTCTTCTCTTCGTCTGATACTGATTTTCTCTTTGCAGAATTATTGTTAAATTCTTCTAAATCTTGCTCGTGCTCTTTTAAAATTTTTTGCTCATGCTGGGAAAGGAGCTTTTCAGCTTGTTTAAGGAAATAATCTTCTGCCAACTTTTGAGCTTCTAACATGGCTTCCAGTTTGTAAATATCCTCAACCAAGGAGTCATGCTCCCTATATTTTTCATCCAAAGAAGGTCCACCTATTTCAGAATCTCTAGATTTTCTTAATTGTTCAAAACTTTCTCTAGACTCATTGTATTTTTGTTTTGTTTCTTGCAACTTTACATCTACAGATTGAATTTTTTTTTCCAGTTCTTCCTCTTCCTTTCTGTATTGGTCTTTTACTTTAGCTAACTCGGCTTCCCATTTTTCAACTTCTTTTTTAAGCTCGGCTTCTTTTTCCAAGTATTCTTTTTCTGTTGTGACTAACTGCTTCGTTTTTTGATTGAATTCTTTCTTTTTCTCTCTCTGAGTTTCAAGTGCTTGTTCTTTTCTTTTTCTAAGGGTATCAATTTCAGTGTGAAGATTTTCAATTTTAACTAGCATGTCCCTCTTCTTTTGTTGAAGATTATCAAACTCTTGTTGTGCTTGCGCAAGTTCTTTACAGCTATTTTTATATTGATCCTTAATTTCAGTAGAATTTTTAGACAATTCCTTCTCTTTTCTTTTCCTATCGGCAATATTTTCCTTTGCAATCTCAATCTCGGCTGTTAATTCTTTTTCAATTTTATCATTTTCGTTGAGCTCTTTCTGTAGTAAGGACTGATGTTTTTTCATCTCATAAATCTCCTTTTCTTGAAGATCAAATTCATTCTTAACTTGTATCTTCTTCATTTCTAGCTCCTTTTTCAACTCTTCCAGCGTGGTAGCTTGGGAGCCAAAAGATTGAAGCATATCTACAGACATTTTTTTTTACTGAGTAAATAAATGATCATCACAGTATGTTCAATATTACTTTTGTTTTAATACTTGCGAAATAGTAGTAATAAGTAATTGCTATTAATTTACCTTAGGTTTGCTTTTTTAAATACGTATCATAAATGGCTAAAACATTAAACTCTAAAAAAATGTCTTTACTTCGGCTCAACACCTCTCTCTATGGTAGCCGCAACTTCCGATACTTCATCGTGATGTTGTCACCATTACAAACGGTACAAACTATATCTAGGAGCTATTCAACAACACCAAACATTGATAGACGGGCACATGCTGTTGAAAGTGTTCAAAATACATACATCAAACAACAACAACTTCTTGAAACATACAGAATAAGATTTAAAAAAATATATCCAACAAATTACGATGATATGCTGGCCAAATTTGAAGTATTTTTTGGGGAGTGCAAAGATGTAGGAGATTATGAGAAGGAATTAGAAAGAATTTTAATAGAATTATTTATTTTAAAAGATAAAAAGAAATATTTGCAAATGAAGGCTCTATTCCACAATGAATTTATTCCTATTTTTACAAAAAACAAGAAAGAAATTATACAAAAAATCAACTATGAATTGCAAAACAGAATACACAATATGAATATTATCCCAAGATTACATTACGTAATTATTAATGAATATTTGAATGCCATTTTAAAACTTGGATTACACACTAAAGCCATTAATACACTTAGAATCCTTGACGATGGAAAATATTTCCCTACACATATGCACGTGTCCACTGTAATTAGGTCAATAACAAAGGATCCAACTAGAACTTTAGAAGCTGCAGAACTCTTGGAACATTTCAAGTATACATATAGAACAGACAGATACTCCACTTTTGCCAACCAATACTCAGAGTCTTGTCTATGCGTTTTACATGGATTTGATCTAGCTGGTTCATATAATGAGGCAATTGATTTTGTGTTGAGAAATGATATTTTAAAGTTTGTAGAACAGACGAGATGTGGAAAACTATTGGCCAAAATATTGTCTATTCTATTGAGACAAAAAAATTTTACATTATTCAATCAACTCAAGTCTAAATACCTCGAAAACATTTTCTCTTCAGATTATCCCTTCATTAAGTCAAAAGATAGATTATTGTATGTCTTGATTAACTATCATTCTTTGCTTGGAGAAGTAGACCAAACAACTCAGTTACTGTCAAAGGTAGAAATGCGAGATTCAAAGCTATATCTTTCAGTAGTTAAACAACTTTACACTAAGAAGTCAGCAGAGTTTCTAGAAAAATTCATATTTGAAGCTATACCACCTATTTACAGAAATAATTACCATTTGGGCTATCTTATTAGAAAATTAGTAGATGAGAAACAATATGAAAAGGCAAAGCAAATTTTTATATCAATACCCCATAATGAAAGAACATATATTTTATGTGATCAATACCTAAGAGGACTTTATATGGAAAAGAATCCAAAACAAAATATCATCGAGGCTCTCACCATTTACGAAGAGTTGGTAAAAACCAAGCAAGAAACTGAAAGCCTTATCTATACAAATGTTTGTGCTTACTATGTAATGCAAATACTCTATGATGGAGGATTTAATGTTCAATTAGAATCTTTTTTCAACAACCTTGGTACTGTCACAATACCTCAATTAATGTTGATGGCAAAGTACTATTTGGAAGTAAATAATATTGAGAAAGTTGAAATGTGCAGAGAAGAAATTAAAAAGGTAAGGCCTCTAGCCCAAAACTTTAGAGAGTACATGACAATAAGCAATTAGATTTATTATTTGGAATTTTTAATCATAAACGGTGTCATTTCTGGCAAAATACAAGCTATTTAATTGCTATTTTTCTTCTCTGATTGACCACCTATTTAAAAGAAAACAGTTCATGTGAATAATTATGACTGGCTTAAAAATCAATTTGAATGATTTCAATATAATTTTATACATATGATTACAAATATTGGTGAGGAAAAGCAGATTTTGAGGCACTTTCAATCTCTGCTCTCAATTCCTCAGGTAAAATAGCAAGATCTTTCTTTGACAATACACCTTTTGGTAAATATTTGAGAATTTTCGCAGCATGTTCTTTGATAAGTTTTGCCTTTTCTTGTTCCACCATTCGTTGTTTTTCTTCTGCTCTTTGTATTTCCTTATTCTGTTCAAGAATTAACTGTTGTCTCTCCATCTCCTTCATTTGAGTTCTTTGGTTCAAGTAATCTTCAACATCCCTTCTAAACTCGGCCATTTTCATTCTCTTCTTTTGGGCACTCATCTGAGCAACTTTTTCGTCTTCCTCGAATTTCTGAATAAGTAATTGTCTAAATGCCTCTTCATGCAGTTTTTCTTCTTGAATTCTGTTTTGTTTTAACATTAATTGTTCATGATTTACCCTTAACATATCTGATTTTTGTTGTTGCTTTCTCTCTGATTCCTCAATCTCTTTAAGCCTTTCTCTCTCTTTCTTTTCTTCAGCATAAAGTTCATTAAGAAGCTCTTCAGTTTCTTCCATGAGTCTTCTTTGATTTTCAAGTTCCTTTGATTGTATTTCCAAAAGTTTGTCTCTTCTCTCTTGAACTGTTGCTTTTTTGAGTTTTTCTTCCTCTTCTCGCATTTGCAGGTATTTTTGGTATTGTATAATGCTTTGTTCTTCGAGGTCTTTCTGCCTTTTTTCTCTATCCTTTGATGACTGTCTTGCTTCCTTAAACTCGTCAATAAATGTTTGAACCATCTTCTTCTTTTCAAAACGTTCTTTCATTTCTCGGTCCTCTTCTTCCATAACTCTCTTTGTAATAGCATCAATCATTTCCTTATCTCTTAAATACTCGAGATAGGCCATTTCTTTTTCTCTTTCCTTTTCTTCCATTTGCTCTTGCAACTTTTGTTTGGCCAAAAGGTTTTGGGCTTTCCTTTGCTCCTCAATGTCATTAAGTTGTTGGATAATCTTTTGTCTTTCTCTTTCCATATCGGACTCTTGCTGCTTTTCAAATTCCCTGTGCTTTTGAGCAATATCTTCTTTATGTTTGAGTTGTCGGTCTCTCTCAACATTGACGTATGCTGTTCTAAGTTTCATCTCTAAAATTCTAATCTCTTCACTCTCCAATCTAACTTGTTGGATAGCTTTTTCGCTTCTTAATTGTTCATTCTTTTTTCTTTGAATGTTTTGATTGATGAGCTCATCCTGTTTTTTTAATTTTTCTCTTAACATCCTTTCTTTCAACTCCATCTCCTTCATCTTTTCTTCTTGCGCAGCCTTTTGGGTGGCGAGGAGCTTGTTTCTCTGTCTGACTCTTTGTAGTTGTTCGTCGTTCATTTTTTTTGTATGTTTTTATGATGTTGTTCAATCCTATGGCGGGAAATGTGTAGATGTTGGCGGGAAAATTATGAGTGATATGTTTCTTTGTCTTAGTAATTTGTTCCTGTACACAAAGAGCATCCAAGAATACATTCCTCCCCGTTATCAGCATGATTTCCACCTGTTGGGCATTTACCAACACCAAGACATTTTGGAAGTTGATTTTTTGGGGTTTTTGTTAGAGCCTGAGTTTCTACTTGTTTTCTGTGGCATTTGTCACAAAAATGGGTTGTTCCCCAACAAAACCAAGTGGCCATATTACTGTTCTCAATGTTATTGATAGCATCTTTGATTTTAAACTTACCAACAGAATTTACACTTGTACGAAATAAACTCAGCTCCATGCACTTCACAGACACCTTCTTGTCTAACCTTTTTAGCACAACAGGAACCACAAACAAGCTCCTCTGGATTGAAATTATCATCCTCATTCTGTTCTCCACATTGAATCTTTCCTCCGTAGTATGGACTTTTGCATTCATGGCACATGTAGAATGAAAAAGAGTTCATTGCATACTCTAAAGGTTTGTTATAATATTTTCCAGATGGAGACGTAATTTCCTCAATCTTTAAAAGACCCTCTTGCTCTAGTTTGACCAGTGATTTTTTTTCTATTATCGATTTGAGTGCTCTTACTTGGGTTGTTTCATCTTTTAGAGCTGGATGATGGATAGAAGTGTTGCATAGAGGACATTTCTCAAATGAAAAGCTCACTCTTGCCCCATGCCATTTCTTTTCCAGCTTTTTCTTTATGCATTCAAAATGGAAAATATGTCCACAATTAAGCTGTATGCAAGGAGCATGATTCAAGGAGCTAATCCAACAAATATTGCAATAGTCATCACCACTTTGGCAAGTATCTCTTGAAGAGCAATTCAAACAGGGAAGGTGCTCAAATTCATCCTTAATTCCACAACAATGATGACCACATGTATGCTTGTGATTGCAAGAATTCAGAGCTTTTTGCTTGCATTCTTCATTCTCACAAATATCACCATTGCAATTAATATCAATAGATGAATCACAATATCTACACCTTTTCGAAGAAAGGTATTCTAAAAATGTGTCACAAGTAAATCCTTCGTGATATGGAGATTTTAAGCATTTTGAGCAAAATTCTAAGGAGCAAACTCTACATCTAAATCTGAACTCTTCTTTGTGAATGTCATCTTCTTTGATTGGCCTTTTTTGAGATTCAAGTTCAGAAATGATTTCCTCTCTCTTCATGTGGATTCTTTCAACAATATTTTTACATGAAGAGTTTGGACAAGTAATAAAAGTGTTTCCGGTGTCAGCATTCTTCAATGCTCTCCTCAATTCCATATCTAATAACTTTGAGTATTCTTTTTCAGAAAGAACCGAGGAAATTAATTGAGACGGTACTGTCTGACAGCATCCATTTGCTGGGCAAAGGATCGACAATTCATCAAAGTCCAAAGAGTCATCAGTTTCGTCCCCAAAGGAAAGAAAATACTTTCTCAAACATTCTTCACAAAATACATGAACACAACTCTCCATAAAGAATGACATGTCTATGGTCAAGTATTTACCACAACAATCACATTTCATTTTCTCCTCGTTTTCCAATTGTTTTTTATGCTCCTTAAGCTCTACCAAGTATATTTGCCTAGCCATCTGTTCATCCTTTCTTTGCTGATCCGGTGATGTAGTGCTAAATAAAAAAGCATCATAATAGGAAGTAAAATCTTTAGGCGAGTAAAGTTTTGGTTTTTTCTTACTTTGAGGAGTTAAGCAAGAAACCCCAGTAGACCTCAACATGTTCCTTAAATTAAGGCATTCATCAATATGTTGTTCAATATTTCTTGAAGAAAATTCTTTTTCACACACAGGGCAAGTAACCAGGGAATTTCTGGGTGTATTTAATTCCTCTCTGTTAGGAGTTGAGGGAGGAGAAAAAGAATAAAAACACTCTCCATCTGTGAAGCAGGTTGTGCTGGAGGTGTCATCCACATTATCATTAAGCATTTTTTTTGAAACCTTGTCCCTTAAAGGACATATTTGGCGGGCAATAATCATCAAAAATAATTTTATTTTCCAATCAATCAAAAAAAAATGAACAAACAAGCAGACAAAGAATTACAGCCAAATAACCTACCTGATGATTCGGAGAGTAAAAGAGAGCCAAAAACCCGAGACACCATGATTGCGGGTGCACTGGCTAGATGTGGTGCTGCCACAATAATGTATCCAATAGATGTTTGTAAAACTAGAATGCAATTTCAGAGACGTTCCGCTCACTTTCATACAGTATACAGAAACAGTTTCCATTGTTTGTCTAGTATGATGAAAACAGAAAGATTTGGAATATATAGAGGATTATCACTGCGATTGTTTTATATTGGTCCAGGTGCTGCAATTACATTTACAGCTTATGAAGGATATAAAAAACATGCAGAAAAAGCCAAACAAAAAGGGGAAAGTATTCTTACATCTGGAGCCTTATATTCTCTAATTATTGGTGGATTGGGAAGAGCAGTCGAGTCAGGAATTAAAACTCCTTTCAACATTATAAAACAACAATTGCAAGTTGAGGGACAATTGACAACCCAGTTCAACCGAGGATTGGTAAAATCAGTGAAACATATTATGGAAACAAAAGGAGTTGGTGGATTATTTGTTGGATATTCTGTTACACTTTGTAGAGATTTACCCTTCTCATTTCTATATTTTGCAAGTTATGAATTTATCAAAAACAAATCAGAAAATTATTCCATTCCACTTCTCAAAGACTATGCTGCTGTTAGAGGTGCTATTGCTGGAAGTTTTGCATCTGTTTGTACTTTACCTTTTGATGTGATCAAAACAAGGATACAAACACAACACAAAATTTCATCCGATGCACACTATTCAGGTTATAAGGATGCTGTCTCTAAAATATTTAAACAAGAGGGTTTTGCTGGATTTTTTAGAGGTATAACTCCACGATTAATTTATACAATCCCGTCCACTAGTATTACATTCCATCTCTATGAAGTATTAAAAAATTATTTAAAATAATTAACTACGGGTAGAGGATTGTACCAATCTCTTATACCTTTCACTTTGTTGTTCCGATAAGAATTTAGTTCTCCTATAAAATAACACCCCAATAACTATGATTAAAACAAATATTGTACATTCAAAAATAATTAAATTTTGAACAGTAAAAGGAGTGTATATGATATCTGGCCTACAGCTTTCTTTTCTTTTGGTTTTTTCTTTTGGATCATCTTTTTTGGTACACATGATCAAGTGGTAGTATTTGGTTGCATCACAATACTGATGCTTTAAATCATCCATTGTACAAGGAATACATTCCGATATTGTTTCACAAATAAATTGATGTCTAGGTATGGAGTGTGTTGATGAAGTTTCAGGTTGGGGATTTGCTAAAAGGAAAGGACAACAAATAAAAAGGATGGTAAGTGAGAGGAAAAAGTTTTTGATCATTTTTTTTGTTCTATTAAATTTAAATCATCATAGTTGGCGCCCTTTATGTACATTATAAAAATTGTTGGCGCTCAAAAAATCAAAAAAAATGACTGACAATATGAGGTTCTCCTCGCTTACCTCACAATTTGTGCAGAAGCATTTGGAGGCTGAAACGTTATTTAAAGAAAGACTGAAAGAGTGCGATGATCGGATTCGAAAATTTGAAGCCACAATACAAGAATTAAAAGGGGAACTTGAAAAAAAGGAGAAAAATTATGAACAACTAAGAAACGATTGCGAGTATAATTATTTATTGGTTAAGGAGAGAGACCACGAATTGGCTACTGTTGAGAATGAGGCTTTAAAATTGAACGAACATAATTCAAGACTGTAAGTAAATAGATACACCTTTGTTTATGTTGTCACAGTAAACAAGAGCTAGAATCGTTACAAAAGGAAAAACTTGTGTTAGAAACAGAAAAAAAGAAGGAGAGTGCAAGAAATAATGAAATAGAGGTCTATTACCAGGAAAAGATGCAAGAGCTAAGAAATGATCAAGACCTTATAAAAAAAGAGTTAGAAGAGAAAAACCAAATGATAATTAAAGAATTCGAAGTTACATTGAGAGATCAGCAAAGGCAATATGAATCAAAGTATGAATTATTGGAAAAGCAAAGAATTTCCCTAGAAAATGATTTCAAAAACTCCTTGAATGAAAAAGATGATCAAATTAGAAAATTATTGCAACAGATAAGGGAAAAAGAACTCATAGCAAACAAATATATTTCTGAAAATGATTCTATCAAGAGGAATTATTCATCAAAGATAAAATTACTGGAGGAGGAGAAACAATCCTTGGATCAAACCATCAATGAATTGATATTAAATCATAAGAATCAGTTACAAGAGTTACAAAGAGAGTCATCCAAACAGCAGCAGCAATTGGTGGCATCTTATGAGCCTACTCTGCAAAGATTGAAACAAGATATTGAAGAATCTCAAAATGTAATTAAAACGCAGAAAGAGAATATTAAACTTTATCAAAGACAATCAGACGACAATGAAAAACAGAGATTATTTGACATTAACTCACTAAGAAATGAGTATGAGGAAAAAATTAGAAAAAGAGAAAAAGACTACGAACAGTTGAAAGAAAAAGAATGGGAACTAACTCAAAAACTAGAGAGCAAGGAAAATATTATCACTACTTTAAAAAAGAACTGCGAAGAAAATGCTAAAGATATGGAAAAACTTCAAGAGGATATTAAACAGGCCTTCGAAAGAGAAAATACTACAAAGAGAGAAGTGTTAAGATTAAATCTACAAATAGAACACGAAAAGGAAGCTAAAGTGAAAGAGATTTCAGATAAGCAAGATCAAATTCTACAAATATTCAGGAAGGAATTAGACGAAGCCAACGTGATAGTTGAAGACAAGGAAAGACAAATTGATGAATTAAGAAAAGAAATAATGATGCTAAATACTGAACTCTCCATAGCCAACACTCTAAAATCAACCCCATACAACAAGCTTAAACCACAACAAAAATCGAATCAAAAATACCAACAAATGTTATCACAGGTGGAAGATGAGCTCGGTTTGGGTTCAATAGATTCTGTATCTTCCCCTTCTTCAATTGATGGCTTATCTGTAATTAATAAGGACGATTATAAGAATTCAATAGAAAATCATAATTATTTGGAAAATAGCATGACATCTCCAATTGACAAACTCAAACTTAGCAGTGTGCACATTGATCAAATCACTAAAATGAACTCTCTAATGACAGAATTAAGACTTGATCTGGAAAGTCAAAAAGAAAAGGTATTCAGAGCTGAAGAGAAACTGATCGATATGGCTACAGAAAATAAGATTCTGAGATCCAAGCTAAAGGAGGCTGTGAAAGATTTAAAACGAGTGTACAAAGAGAAAGAACAACTCACAGATATTAGTAACATGTTAAAATCTGAGCTGACAAAAACAAAAGAAGCCCTCTTTTATGCAAGAGAAGCAGCTGTATTAGTTAGTGTTGAAAAACCTGCCTCTCCCAAACCATCAAATGATAATCTAGGTGTAAATGGTAAATCAAAAACTATCTCACAAAGAAAAAAGAAGCTAGGATATTAAATGAAATACACTAAATATAAAGAACGAATTTAGTCTTTATTTATTATTCTTTTTTGCTAAGGCAAGTTGACGACAATATTCAAAACGTTCCTTACAATCTTTTGCTGACTTTCCTGGAACAATCTCAGAAATTTTTTCCCATTTAGAATCACCCTTGAGTTCCTTGAATTGTCTAATACCAGTCTCTAGAGCTTTTTGTTGAAGTGCTGTCCAATTTTCAGTTCCACTCGAGCTAGAATCAACATTATTTGTTTGATTATTGATATTATATTGTTCGTCCATTTTTTTTTCCTCTTCTCTTTTTTTGGCTGTTTGATTCTTTGAATTTGTCTTTTGAAAATCTCCAAAATAGTCTTTTTCTTCTCTCTTTGGTAGAACGTCTTGAATAGATGTCATTTTACGAATTTCTCCTGTTTTTTGTTGAACTTCTTCTGGTGTCTTGGTTTTAACATACTCAGCTACTTTGATCCATCTTTGTGGAGTGCCACCAGGAAACATTGATATAGCCTTTGCTAAAAGACTCAATTCCTCATGATTCCACTCTGAAGTCTTTTGTTTTTCATTCTTTTTTTGTTCTTGGGTTTGTTGTTTCTTGTCTTCTTCTTTTTTCTTGACAATTTCTCTCACCTTTGTCTCTAAATCATAAAAAGCAGTCACAAACTTTGAATCATCTTTTGTTTTTTGAGCCTCTACAAATGTTGGTTCTAACTTTTGTACCATTTTTACCAAATTCTCAATGGGTAAATGGGTCAATACAAATTCAACATCCTCTGGTCTAATATTCGTCATTTTGTCTTGTTTTTTAACTGGCTTCATCAAAAGTAACAAATAAGGATCACACATTTCTCTCATTCTCTTGATAGTTTGAGTTTTTTCCTGTTGTTTTCTTTCATTTTCCTCTTTTTCTTTTTGCTTTTTCTCTCTTTCTTCTTGCTCAACTTTTTTAATTCTTTCCTCTTCTTCCTTTCGTTCCTTTTCTTCTCTTAATATTCTTTCCAACTCACGCTTGTTCTTTTCTTCCTCCTTTCTCTTACGCTCTTGTTCTATTTCTTCATTCTTTTTCTTTACTCTAGGATCATTTTTACGAGCAAGTTCAACCAAATCTGTGAGCTTTTTCTTCTCTTCCTTTTTTCTTTTTTGATTAATTTTGTCGTTTTGACGTTTCATCCAACGACGTTCCTCTCTAGAATCAGCAGTTGATTCGTCATATTCACTTTCGCCACTGAAGTCACGCCAACTTTTAAAGGTTGACCAAAAAACATAAAATCTTTCCAATTCCTCAAAAGAAGTTTTCATATCACCTAACTTTGGAACATTTGGGAAAGAACGTGACCATTTAGACCATCTCTCAAAAACTGGAGCAAAGGTGGAGAAGAATCTCTTTTGTTCCTCTTCTTCAGTAAGAGGAGTTGAAGGAGCAGAGTAAGTTGGAATTGAATCATCAAAAGGTTCACTTGAATCATAACATAATTTCTTTCTCTCATCTAATAACGTTTCATATGCACGAGTTAAAGCTTTAAACATGGTATCATCTCCACTAGTTGTTTCACCATTTTCTCCTGTTTTTTTGAAATGGTCAGGGTGATACTCTTTTACTTTCTTCTTGTAGGCTTTACGAATATCATCAGGAGTTGAAAGCCAACGTTTTTCCAATCCTAATATTTCATAATAGTCATAATCTTCCTCTTCTTTTTCGTATCCTTCACTATTCTTTATCATTCTCTTCTTTTTCATTAATTTTTGAACATCTACACCAGCATTAATTTCGTCATCATCAGAATCATCAGAGTCAGCCGATGAGGATTGTGATGTTTTTTTACTATATTTGTTATTAACATCATGAGTTTGTTGAAATAACATTTGGAAGAATCCACGGCCAATATATTGTTCAACTTTACTCAGATCCAACTCATTATTGACAGCGTCTTTTGTTGATGCACTCATATTTTTTTTCAACTTCAAAAATAATGCCCAGCTTCTTCGCCGACATCTATGCAAGAAGGCAGGAAGGATCTCTTGCTTCCACAACCACACACAACAAGGAAAACAATATTTTACTAATAGATGATGAAGAACAATATGATGATACTTCTGTTGCAAATCCCATCAATGATAATAATTTATTCACTACAAACAAGTACCATCAGGTTCAGAGAGCTCCTCAAATTTTAAATAACAGGAAGTGGTATACATGGATATTTCCAATAATTGCTTTTATTTTAATTATTTGGGTTGTTTTAGGTTATGTATTTGGATTTCTTTTACCTATTATTATTTCTTCTTCGGAAACAGTATTCGTCAGAGTACTTCATAGTTTCTACTTTATTTTATTTTCGTTTATGTCTGTGTGTATTATTTATCCATTCATCAAGTGTATATTTACAAATCCTGGATTTGTATTTAAAGATGATAAAGTATGGCGACTTTCAAAGGATCAAATCAAACATTACAAAAAACGAGGACCTGGATTTATTGCTGATTTGGAAAAGGAAATCAAACAAATTATGAGCTACAGAAATGAAATCAGAGATTTAATAAATGGATCACAGGAGGTTGAAGTGGACGAAAATAGTCAGGAAATCCATCAAGAGGATTTATCATTCAATGATTCTTTAACGTCAGAATTGAACTCAAGAGGTCAAGGTATGTTATTATTTCTATCATAACTTCAACCTTAATCGATCATTTAGTTAGAATTTGCGAGAAATGTTGGATTAGAAAACCAGATCGTAGGTGAGTTGTTTAGTAGTACTTAATTATTGATTGTCAATAGTCATCATTGCAGACAATTGAATTGTTGTGTTTTGAGAATGGACCACTTCTGTCCATGGTTCAATAACTGTATAGGATATTACAACCACAAATATTTCTTTACATTTCTTTCATGGATAGCCATTACAGGGTTTTTCATTGTTGCAACAATGTCTAAAGTCATGTTCAAGACACTTCAACAACATGGATCCCAAAGTACATTTAATTTCTTTACTTTCAATAATCTATGGGTCTATATTTTGAGCTTTTGCTTTGGTTTCTCAATGTTTTTCTTTGCTGGCTATCATTTTAAACTTATAATTTGCAATACCACTACCATTGAATCTTTAGATAAGGAGAGAAGATTATATGAACAACATCACTGTGAGGCTCCCTATGATATTGGTGTATTGAGAAATATTAAATCAATACTGGGAGATAATCCAATTTTATGGCTTTCCCCTTTCCACATTGATTATGAGGGAGATGGATGCCATTATCCATTGAAATCATCCAACAACTATGAGGTTGTTGCTTCAGTTGATAATTAATATTTTCTAAAATTCATAAGAATAAACTCTAAAACCACAATAGTAGAAAAAATTTGGAGAGAATGAAAAGACGAGAGTTCATACTTCTGTAATCAAAACAATGATGATACGATTCTAACTGCGTTATCTTTCCGATAGTAATATGAGGACGCAAAACATCGATTTGCACGTCAGACTGATAATGGTCAAATACTTGTGTTAATAATGCTGTGTTTTATTATTTAAAATGATAATAATTTTAGAGAATAAAATATTTAAATAAAGAAAAAAATGGTTGAAGCCACTCCTATTATCAAAGTCAAAAACGCTTTAAAATTTTCAAAAATCCCAACAAGGCCAAAGAGATTCGACAAAGGTCTCTACCACGACACATTAATTCAAACTGGTAACCAAAGAAGTTTTTCGGAAAGAAAAACTAAGAGAAAATGGATGCCAAACTCTCACTGGGTTAAACTTTATAGTGAAGCTTTGGATACTAGAGTTCAATTGAGAGCCACATCCAAGGCTTTGCGTTGTATTGACAAGTCAGGTGGTCTTGATAATTATTTAATTGAAACTAGACCAGAGCTTGTTGGATCAAGATATGGCATTTGGTTAAAGAGAAAGATTTTAGCACAACAAGTTGAAAATAAGAAGGAAAAGGAATTGAATGAACGTTTGGAATCAACAGCACAAAGCTTGGCTACATTTTTGAAGGAAAATCCTTCCGAATATGAGCAAGTTATTAATTTTGAAAGACAGCAATCTAACGGAGAACAATTGCTTCAATACTTTAACTCACTCTCTCAAGACCAACAAAATCATTTGTTAAAACTTCAAGAAACTGAAATTCAAAATTTGAAACAAGGTTTAAAGAAGAAGAACTTCTTAGCAACTCTCGAAAGAAAGAAGCCAAAACAAGTAAAGAAGGAAGAAAGAGAATTGAAGAAGAATACCTACGTTTACGATATCCACTTGAGTGAAGCAAAGAGACGAGCTCTCACTTCAAGAAGACAAAAGAATATTCAAGAATACGAAAAATTACAAAAGATGGGCAAGGCTCAAGATGCTGCTGTGCAAGAAAATATATAAATTTAATATTAAATTTAAAGGTTACTAAGAATTATTAATTTAGTCTCGGAATGAGAGGGCTCAACTGTTTTATGCAATTTAAAAAAAATGAAACAAGCTCTGATATCAAAGATAAAAGCCAAAAAGCAAGAAGTTGTAAAATTTGATGAATCTAGTGACGAAGAAGAATCAAATATTACCATTCCACAACCAAGTTTAAAGAGGGCCCCTTCAAAATCGATACAACAATCAAACAAAAAAATCAAAACATCTTTTGCTTGGAATAACATCCCAACTTCTACAGCTGCTATCACCAACAATATCAAAACATTAGAAACTCCCTCCGATGAGGAATCTGATGAGGAATCTGACTATGAAGAAAAGGAGGAATCCACCTCACCTCATAAACACATCATGATGTTCACCACCTTACCGAAACAGAAATTGCAGAAATAGAAGAGTCTTTACCAAACAAGGCACCAACCAGTGAAGCAGATTTTGAGAGATTAGTTATAGGTGAACCAAATAATTCATTTTTATGGATTCAATACATGACATTTATGTTGAACACTTATGGATTCGAAAAAGCTAAGGAAATTGGTGAAAGGGCTGTTAATAGAATACACTTCTCCAAGGAAAATGAACGTTTCAATTTGTGGAGTGCAATACTCAGTCTGTATGTGTCAAATAATAGAGGTAATGTGGACAGTGTAATTGAAAAGGCACTCCAAGGTGCTAGTAAGCCACATCTTATTTATCTACAATACGCAAAGATTTTGAACAAGTTATACGAAAAGAAGAAGCAAAGAATGGATGCAACTGAAGAGGAAGAAGATTCACAAAGTGAAAATGAGGAAGATGAAGAATTAAAAAACAAGAGAGCTAATGAACTAGAAGAATTACTCACTAAAATTGACCAAGTTTATAGAAAGGCCTGTAAAAAATATAGAAATGAAAAGAAGGTATTTGAAGAATATGAACAGTGGTGTATTTCAACATTAAAGGACATCAAAAAAGCTGAACATGTATTGAATAGATCTTTGAAGGTTTATCCACAAAAAGAACACATTTCCCTCAAATCCAAGTTTGCAATCATTTTATACAAGTGTGAAAATACTATTGAGGCAAGAAATGCCATGGAAAACATAATACAAAATAGTCCAAAGAGATCTGATGCATGGTCGATATATTTAGATTGTGAACAACAACATACTAATGACCAGAGATATATCAGAGAGTTGTTTGAGCGTGTGTGCAATCTCACAACTCTTTCCACAAAAAAGATGAAATCATTCCTGCAAAGATATCTAAAGTTTGAAACACAACATGGTGATTCAGAGAGGCAAGAACACGTCAAACAAATTGCCAAAGAATATATCCAAAGCAAACTTGAAAAATCCAAGATTGATACTAATAAAGATTAATTCCACTTTAAAACATAGCCTGTGTGGTAAATATTGTATTCTTGTAAAGTTTTTGTATAGTCAACCTCCTTTCCACAATAATATAAACATGATCCAGAAGCTGAAGATAGCATAATTACTCTTTCTTTGAGGTCTTGGAAAGTATCTACCGATGCCTCACACTCTATGAAGAGTATTTTGTTTTGTGTCTTGACAAATATTTTCATTTTTTTTTAATATTAAAATAAAAAATGAGTGATGAAGATTTGAGCGATTCGGAAAGTGAAAATAACCAAGAGGAAGACGAGGAATTTACATCAGATGATGAACAGTTAACTGATAATGAATTTCAGGAATCAGATATAGAAGATACAATTCAAAGTGACGATAATATTGAAGAATTCGAACAAGGACTAACAATATCTAATAGAATGAGAGTGAAACACGCACGTAAATTATTTTTCGATGACAAACAAAAACAATATAATTCAATAATAGCTAAAGAAGTTTCTCAAAAAGTTAAAGAAAAATGGACAGATATTATGGATACGGTAGGAGAACAATCAATGTTTGAGTTTAATATTTTAAAAAGTTTGGTAAATGGTGATAGTCAATCTACCAAAGGGACTAGTACAACACATACAGAAGAATTAGAAATTAAACAAAAAGGAGATGAATGGGACTATACAATTGGATTGAAAGAGGAAATTGAGAAATCGCTCAACTCTATTGATGATAAGGAAGAAACAAGCGATACAGAAGAAAATGAATCAGAAGAGGACGAAGAAATTACTGATGATGAGGATTGAACAAATTTTCTTTTGTGTGAGGAAGTGGTTAATTTAAGTATTAAGGCTTTGCCTATTAGAGCTTTAACGAATTACTGAAGTATAAATCAGAATAAATACTTATTGGTCAAAGTATCTTTTATTTTATAGTTGTGGCTAATACTTCTTCTGCCTTTTTAATATAATTCTTAAGCAAGTAGTTTTCTAGCTTTACAAGTATTTGTGACATTTTGGGGCGTTTTTCTGGAACCTGAATACAATCAGCAACAATTTCTTTAAAGGCAGCTCTGTAGCTCGAAGGAATACAACTAAATTTGGAATCAATTTGTTTTTCAATATTACCAATGGAGTAATAGTTTGCAAATGCAATGTGTTCATTGGGATATTTAGCAAAAAATTCAATTGGTGATAAATCCATAAACATTTCAGCAAGAAGTATCCCATAACTATAACAATCAAGACTTGTAGATGCGGTTTTTGGTTCTAGGAGATCAGAATAGTGAATATAACCTGAAGTTCCACATATTGTCCCAGACCCAACACTTTGTTTTACAGCAATATCAAAATCAACAAGTCTCACTTTTGCAATTGTTTTGGGAGAATTTCTATGATATTTCAATGTAATATTTTCAGGTTTAACTGAAATAATGCTTAATAAACTCAAGTCTGTAATTACTTACTATCTCTATGAATAATATTTTTAGAATGTAAATAAGAAATTCCTCTTGCCACATTAATGAGAAAGAATAATAGCTCGAACACATATTCTCTAGTTTCCTTTGTAATTTGGGATTTAAAATCGGAAATAAACTTTCTTGCATTACAATCCATTAATTCCATGTAAATGAAAATGGAGGTTTCTGTTGAATTCTTCAGGATTCTAGCATTGTAAAATCTTATAATGTTTGGATGTGTTAGATAGGTCAATAAATTGATTTCTCTCACAGTTCTATCTTGATTATTCTGTAAAACAACCTTTTTGACGGCGCAATCTATTTTCCCCGTTATAGGAAGATTGACGGTACACTGTACAACCTTACCAGTTGCCCCTCTTCCCAATAAACGTTTCTCGCCTAAAAATTGTTTGAATGAATTTGTGAAATTGATTAATCAACATACCAACTACAGAGTATAAATCTTTTTCATTAGGAGATAATCTAACAGACAATCCACCAATACCATTATCACTTCCTTGTCTTATGTAATTATGAGCCTCAATTGAGGCAATGTCATATAATTTACCAGGATGAAGCATAACGTCAACCAAAAAAAACTTTTGAATAGTTGGATTTGATGCTTCACAATCAATAATTGATACAACATTCCAAGCATGATTTCCTCCATTAACATTTCCTCTAACCAAACGGCATCTGATGTCATTTACGAGACCGAATACAAATAAATGATCACATAAATATTTGAAAAGAATTGCTCTATGTCTACACACTCCAAAACGTATATCTCCTAACATGATTCTTTGACTTTTTGATTTCTTTAAAAAGTTTTCTATAAAAGCGTTTGATAATTCTACAATATTATTAGAATTTCCTCCAAAACATGAGTTGACATAATTACTAAGCAGGGAAAATAGCTCCAAAAGAGTTTTGCTGTTGAATTTGTTAGACTGAAATTTTGTTGTACCAAACTTCTTCATAAATATTGATCGAAACGTTTCTACTATTAACATTAACCCCTCATCCCTCTCTTCATCAATTACAATGATTTCTCTATTGGAAGAGTTTTTCCTTCCCCCATCAAGAAATATTTTTCTTCTATTAACACTCGAGATATGATCATCAAAATCCAAGAGTGAAGTATTCTTGTATTTCGAAGTTTCATCTCCTTTCACAATAGAATAACTAATATCTTCTGCCAGATATCTGAGTGATTTTAGAATGAAATACTTTTCCAAAGATAATATGCTCTTCACTGTAAAGCATTCATCCAAGTAATGAGTAAAATATTTCCTGATTCTCTCCACTAGGGTTTCAGCATTAATGAATAATTTAATTCTGGTTTGTGAATCAATTTTCTTTTGATTATCAACCAAACCCTTAATTGTATAAATGTTGTGATGAGAGGGTAGCTGGTTTTTTTCTAACATTGCAATACAATCACGAAATGCAGAGCTCAATTTTTTCTCTATATCTTTCTTTGCATCAGTAAACGTTGACTGAACAGAATTTCTTATTTTTTTGTCCTTTTTGTATGGGTGATTGTGGTGATTTTTCTTTTCGTCATAATAAAGTTGAAGAGCGAGTGCTTGATCATAATCGTGCCTTTCCGAAGAGGAAGCAGAAGGCTTTTCTTTCATTTTTGATTGTGCTAATAAAAAAACAGGTTTCTTTCAAGAATTTTTTAAAAAATTCCAATGAAAAGAATTCTGAATTGGTTGACTGGAATTTTTTTTAATGGAATTTTTTACATTGTTTAAAGGGTTTTTACACATGATATTTTTATTGAATTACAACAACAGCCTCTCTGCCTGCTCCTACACCAATCCACTTTACAGGAACACCAACTTTTTCCTGAATTCTCTTGACGAATGTTTGGGCATTTTGAGGCAAGTCTTCGAACTTTCTTACCTTTGAAATGTCAGTCTTCCATCCTGGATAAGTTTCATAAATGACCTCAACCTTATCTAAATCATCAGCACTGTATGGTACAGTGTCGAGTTCAACACCATTGAGTCTATACCCAACTCCCAATTTAACTTCATCTAATTGATCCAATACATCAAGCTTGGTTAAACACAACGCATTAAATCCATTAATCATACATCCATATTTTACAGCAACAACATCCAACCAACCACAACTTCTTGGTCTTCCTGTGGTAGTACCAAATTCACCACCAATTTTTCTTATCAAATCACCAGTTTCATCTTTTAATTCTGTTGGAAATGGTCCTGAACCAACACGTGTGCAGTAAGCTTTGATTACACCATAAACTTCTGAAATGGCACGTGGAGGAATACCCAACCCAGTACAGGCACCACCAATACAAGGATTTGATGAAGTAACAAATGGATATGTACCAAAATCCAAATCTAACATTACTGCATTGGCACCCTCAAGTAATACATCACGACCTTCAACATAAATTGCCTTATGAAGATAAGTGACTGTATCAATAATCATTGATTTGATACGAGGAATGAAAATATTCTTATAAGAATCCAATTCTCCTTGGGCATCGTAGCTATTCAATTCTTCGCAGGTTGGATATTGACTCTTTAAAGTTTTCAATAATTTGTTATATTTTTTCTCAAAAGTTTCAAAATCTGAAAGTAAATCTCCTGTACGTAAACCAGAACGAGCTGCTTTGGTTGTATAGGTTGGTCCGATACCACGTTTTGTGGTACCAATTTGAGAACCACTTTCTTTGAGAACTCCTTCTTGGAATCCATCAATTGCTTTATGGAATCCGAAAACAAGATGTGTACGATCAGATATCAGGATACGTTTCTCCAGATCATGTATAACGTTGTCATCATCATTTTTCTTCTTTTCCAACAGATTATCAATTTCGGAAAACAATTTTGGAATTTCCAATACAACGCCATTACCAATGAGGTTTATACAACCAGGGGTAAGAACACCTGAAGGTAACAAGTTAGTGGCATATTTACGACCTAATTCGTCAACAATTGTGTGACCAGCATTGGCACCACCATTATATCTACAAATAATTTGATGTTGTTTGGCAATGAGATCAACAAGTTTTCCTTTACCTTCATCACCCCATTGACCACCGATAACAGCACAAACACTAGCTTTTGGTTGTGTATAGTTACTTGTGCTAGATGACAGAGAACTCATATTGAAACAAAAAGAGAAAATAACAGAATAGTATTAGAGAATTTTTTTCACATTTTATTATTTGGGTTGTCTTCGTGTTTGTTGGTGTTTTATGTATTTTGAAGTGGGTACTTGCGAACTGGGCACCAGCTTGGTGGGTACATAGGAGATAACTTTACATTGTAATAATTTACTGTGGCACCACTACAATTAGAGCGGCACTTTTAATTACAATTGTTAATGTGTTAATCCTCTCTTGTGTTTCATTTAGATTTCATGGAAGAAACAGGTGGGTCTTGAACAGTCTGTTTGCTAATCAACACATAACCAGTCAATCCAGAAACAATTAAACATAAAAATGATGACAAAAGACCAATATCAGAACCAGATCCATGAGAAAATGTAAGAGAAAGCCAAACTAATCCAATCATTAAAGATGAAAGAGAAATTGTTGATAAAAAAATATCTGTACCACTAGTAATGTAGTCTCCAAGCATAACCAATGAAATGACAACAGCCCAGATAATAATTAAAATTCTAGCTCCAAGTAATGTAGACCACCTATAAATACTAATGGTTGCATCAAACAATTCTCTTGGTGAGTTGAACTGGCCTTCATGTACCTCACCTACATTGTATCCATTGGATGCCTTTAAAAGTTCTATCTCTCCATTTGTGCTCACTTGTCTACCAATGATAGTTACACCCTTTCCTAGTGCTGGCTTTTGGTCAATAAATTTAATTCTAATATCTCCTGCTTCACAACTGGTAAATAAATCAGCAACTTGCCAATCCAAAAGAGATCCTTCTACAAATCCAAATAAAGTACGCAATGTTTTTTCAAAATTTGATGGCTCATAGGCAGAAAAGAAATAGCCAGATCCAATATATTTGAAATTGTGTTGAGTATTAGCAACAGTTCCCCTGATGGATTCTAATTGATTTTTAGAGAAGGAGATGGTTCTTTCTGGAATTTGATTTTTTGTAATCAAAGTAGGTCCAATATGATATTTTCCAACTGATACCCCAGAAGCATGGCTCTTCATACTCGGAAATGGATTTCTTTGAGGATTATGATGTGCAGCTGGTTGGTCGAAAGCTAAACTTGGGATAAGATGGTCAACCCAGCCTTTTTATCAGAACCACCAAATTGAGTGAAGAATATTAATAAGAGTAAGCTACCCTCCAATTTTAAATACATACCTTTTGTATAATAGTAAGTTCTAACTGTAGTTTCAGAGCCATCTCTATTTTTTACTGTTTCGTCTCTAGAACTCTCTATCCACTGACAAAACTCAACTTGTCTTTTAACACTTAATGCATCGCTAAATGAAAGACCAAAATCATGATCAACAATAGGATAATCAGTTTGAACTTGTTCACTTGGTACGTGGAAGAAAATTAATTTTTGATTATTGGTTTCGGATGGTTTTGAATAAATAGGATCGTGAATAATGACAGCCTTATCAGATACTTCGTTGAATGCTCTGATCATCAATGCTGATTCATTCTCAGCATAAAAAAAGTACAATGGTCCACCAACCAGTACGATGAAAAACAAAAGATATAAAAAGTATTTTACACAAGTATTTTCTATCTGTTTCAAATGATTAACCGATGCAAACAAAAATAAAAACAAACCTCTAATTGACTGTTATTAATTATTCTAGATCTACCAACACGAGTGCTGAACACCGTCGAAAAAAAGCCTGTATGTCCTCTGGTAGAAGGATTACTGGGGAAGAACAATGTCATTGTTATTATTATTTTTTTAATGAATGTATTCTTCTTCTATCGGGGAAGAGAAGCAAACTGAAGAAAAAACACGTGGTAAACACGTTTTTCTACCAAAACTAATGGTTGCAGAAATCGGTTCCTCATTACTTTTGGTGGGTCTTTAAGAGACAATACTAAGAGCATTCGATGTAAAAAAGTGTTCAATATTATTTCATTCAAAAGAATTGTGTAATTAATTTTTTAAAAGAAAGACAGAAAAAAATGCCACCAAAAGACAACAAGAAGATACCCAACAAAAGTGCTACATCGTCGGGAGCAGGATTGAATCCAACATCAACACCTACAGAAAAGAAAAAACTGGATGCTCGTATCAAAACTTTAATAGAAAATTGTGTAAAGAAGAGACATAGATCATTTTTTGTTGTTGTTGGAAACAGAGCACGTGAACAATTGGTGCATTTGCACTACATGTTAGCAAAGGCTAGAGTTAAGACAGCACCATCTATTTTGTGGTGTTATAAAAAAGAATTGGGATTTATTGCGTAAGTAGAGTTCAATGATTCGGTAATGTATTTATTTCACATTTCAGTGATGCCAAGAGTAGAAATAGAACCATAATTAAAAACTATGGAAAACAAGGAGATGAAGAAGTTCAAAAACATTTAAATACCCCATTCAATTTATTCCTTTCTGCTAATGAAATTCGTTATTGTTATTTCAAGGAAACTCAAAATATTCTTGGTAATACATATGGAATGTTGGTTTTACAAGATTTTGAAGGTGTTACTCCAAATGTTTTGGCAAGAACTGTGGAAACAGTTGAAGGAGGAGGCATGGTTGTTTTGTTACTTCCAGAAATGAATTCTCTTAAACAACTTTACACAATGACTATGGATGTTCACTCTCGTTTTAGAACAGGCCATGAGGATGTGGAAATTACAGCTAGATTCAATGAAAGATTTCTTTTATCTTTGGCATCTTGTAAGAATTGCCTAGTTGTGGATGATCAACTTAATATTTTACCTATTTCTTCTCATATTAAGGACATCAAACCAATAGTTTTACAAGAAGAAGAAAGATTGGAAAATCACATATTATCTCCTAAGGAAAAGGATCTTGTTGATCTCAAACACAAATTAGAAGAGAATCAACCTCTTGGAACATTAGTTTCTCAAGCAAGATCACTTGACCAAGCTAAAGCTATTCTTAAATTTGTGGATGCAATTTCCGAAAAGTCTCTTCAAACTACTGTTGCCCTTTTGGCTTCAAGAGGTAGAGGTAAATCTGCAGCTTTAGGTCTTGCTATTGCATCTGCAGTTTCATACGGCTATTCAAACATATTTGTGACATCACCAAGCCCTGAGAACTTGAAAACACTTTTTGAGTTTATAATCAAGGGTTTAGAAGTTCTCAAATACAGGGATCAACAAGATTATGAAATTGTTCAATCAACAAATCCAGCTTTTAATAATGCTGTAGTTAGATTGAATATATTCAAAAATCACAGACAAACAATCCAATATATCCAACCAGAAGATAGTCAAAAATTAGGTCAATGCGAGTTATTGGTAATTGACGAAGCTGCTGCTATTCCATTACCTCTTGTTAAAAAGCTTTTAGGACCTTATTTGATTTACATTTCTTCAACTATTAATGGTTATGAAGGAACAGGTAGATCTCTTTCTTTGAAGCTTTTAGAACAATTGAAGGAAAAAGGTCAAAAACAAACAGGAAAACAGCTCACATCAGCAAGAAAATACTTTGAAGTTAAGTTGGAAGAGCCAATCAGATATGGAGAAGGAGATTCCATTGAAAGATGGTTATATGACGTTTTGTGTCTTGATGCTACTTCTGCAGTACCATTAAGTTCCAAATGTCCTCATCCTTCTGATTGTAACCTTTACTATGTTAACCGTGACACACTTTTTTCATATAATCAAGCTTCTGAGGCTTTCTTACATGTAAGTTAGGACATTATTTTTTATTTCTAACTCTTTCTGTAGAATATGATGTCTCTCTACGTATCATCTCACTACAAAAACACACCAAATGACCTTCAATTAATGTCTGATCATCCATCTCACCATTTATTTGTATTGCTTGGTCCAATTGATGAAAATAGCGCAACATTGCCAGATATTTATTGTGTTATCCAAGTTTGTATGGAAGGTAAAATTAATAGACAAACTGTTCTTGCAAATTTATCAAAGGGTCTTAACCCTGGAGGAGATTTGATTCCTTATTTGGTATCAAGACAATACCAGGAATCTGATTTTGCTGCCTTGTCAGGCGTAAGAGTTGTAAGAATTGCTACTCATCCAGAGTATAAGAGAGTATGTAGTAATTAATTTTATGAATAATTAACCGAAAAAAGATGGGCTATGGTACCAGAGCTCTTGAACTTTTAACTAAATATTACCAAAATGAAATTCAAAACCTTGATGATACACTCGAAGAAGACGAGAAGGAAACTGTTAATGAAGTCAGAGCTGTAGGATTGGCTAATGAAATTATAAAACCTCGTGGTAAAAACGAACTTCCTCCATTACTTCAATCACTTGAAGAGCGATCTCCAGAGCAAATTCACTACATGGGAGTTTCATATGGTATGACACAACAACTTTATAATTACTGGAAGAAGAACGGATTTGCTCCAGTCTATATTCGTTTAACCTCTAATGAACTTACAGGAGAACATTCATGTGTAATGTTGAAGTCACTTTCTACAACTCCTGAAGATACAAGAAATTGGCTGAATTCCTTTGTTGAAGATTTCAAACGAAGATTCCTTGCATTACTTTCCTACGATTTCTCTACATTCAACGCAGCACTTACACTCAGTATCTTGGATTACAAGATGGAAGATAATAATGAGTTAGGAAACAAATCACTTACTGTTTCTGAAATGGATCAATATCTCTCCAAGTTTGATTTGAAGAGACTTGCCTCTTATTCAAAGAACTTGGTTGATTATCATGTAATTCTAGATTTACTTCCAACTTTAACAAGATTTTTCTTTTTGAATAAGATGCCATTTAACTTGTCATATGCCCAGGCAGCAATCTTGTTAGGTGTAGGTTTGCAACATAAAAAAATAGAAGATGTTGGAAAGGATATTGATTTGCAAAGTAATCAAATCTTGGCCCTCTTCAATAAGAGTATTAGAAAGTTTGTTAAATACTTCAAGATTATTGACAAGCAACGTTTCATCTCTGCCTCAAGTTTAATTCAACCAAAAGTTGAAGATAATATGGAAGAAAGTGAGGATGAAGCAAATGAAACCGATAAGGGAAATGTTGCATTTGAGGAATTAGATGAAATGGAAAGCGAAGACGAAGATGAGAAGAAACCTGCTTCTAAAGACATTTTGGATTTATTTGAAAAACCAATAGAAACAGACGAGAGATTTAAAACTGCTTCCAAGAAAAGAAAACAAATTAGTAAGGACGCCAAGGAAGAAGAGCCAGAAAATAAGAAGAGAAAAGATGATCCAAAGAGAAAGGAGTTCCTCAAGCAAGCTATTTCTAACAGTGAATTTAAAATATCAGGAATTTCTGAAGAAGATTTAGAAAAGGGTGTTGAGGAGAGTGGAGGTAAGGGAGCTCTTGCTTCTGGTTCTGTCATTGTAGGAACACAAAAAGAGGAGCAAAAAAAGGAAGTGAAAAAGTATATGATGAAGAGTGAAAAGGAAATCAAAGAAATTGAAAAGAAATACCAAAACCAATTATTCAAGAAGGGAGGAAAGAAGAAGAGAGATGTTAAACATTAAATAATTATTCTTTTGTACTGTTTGGTCTTGGTGGCTTAAGGATTGGATTTAGCGTACTAGCTGTTTTTCTAATGACTCTTCGAACCGGAATTATGGGTTCTTCAGGCGGTTCGGATGGGGTTGGTTCTGCAATCCTAACTTTTATCTTTTTAATATCTGTGCTGTCTTGGGCTTCTGTTGTTGATAGAAATGTAGGATTTTGGGTTGGCTTTGTGGCCACTGCTCTTTTTCTTCTGGTTGACTGATCAGATTCAGGTTCCATTGTGCTTCTCAAAGGTTGAGTTTGAATTGTGGATTGATTTTGTGAAAGTGGTTTGGGCATACATGACATTCTTCTTGTTGGTGCTCTTTGTTGTCTGACTCCTTGAATTGGGTTTTTAAACCCCACAAGTTGTTCTTTTGTTTTTTCCTTAAATGTTTCAATAACACTTTCCTTAATAGATTGTAGCTGCAAAGAAAATTGTTTGTTAGAAGAATTTCCATAATCAATATCTTCTGAAATATCAATCAATTTTCCTCTAATTTTAGAAAAGATGGTTGCACTTTCTTCCGAATCAAAATAGGACAAACATTCATCAAAAAAGCTGATCTCGATATCCAATTGAAGTATTCCATTAGCACAAGTGTCGTCTGGAAGAAGCATACAACAATCATTAAAATTTTTAAGAAGCTCTTTTTTAAGTTCCCTACAGACAAATGTTGGAAGATCAGCCCTAGCCTTCATGTTAGCTTCGTGGTGAACTAGTGCTAGTCCAAGAAGAGTTTCTATCATATAGCTTCTAATTGTTGTAGGTGTAGAGGCAGTTGCCCACCTGAATCCTGGATCGATAATACCTTTGCGAAGAGTGCTGGAGAGAGCAATAGCTTTTCGTCTTAGCCATTTCTTCAAAATTAAATTCGATAACTTGTCGAAAGTATTGTACATATCCCTTACTAGCGAGGAGTTACTGAACTTTTCTTTTGGCTTTGTTTGAATTGGTGTCATATTCTCAATATCCAAATCATCAATGTCAATATCATCAAGGTTGTCATCTATTATTTCTAAATCCTCCTTACAAAGAATTTTCTCATCGAATGTATGTAGTATTTTTTCTAAGGCACCTCCCATATTGATCAATTCATATATGTTTCTCAATAATATCATTAGTTTCTTGTCTGGGTTAAGTCCACTATTAGAATATTGAGACAGGATTGCTGAGAAAGTTGTGCTTTTGCTTGTTTTCATTGAGTTAAGAATATCTTTTTCATCAATATCCTTTGATAATTCAAATAATGTGTCGCCAAATGACAACAATGTCTCCACGAACATTTTTTTAATTTCTGAAAAATTCTGTTTGAATTGTAACAAAATAAAACACTCACAGTGTACTTACATCTCCTGTTGTTGTTACTATTGTCAAGATATTAAGCAACTCATATATGTGTTTCATAAATAATAATGGGAGTTGTGTCGTGTTGCTCTCTTTTACAATTATCCAATCCTCCTTATCATGTAATATTCTTATCTCTTCCATTGTTCTTTCACAATATTTGGTGATTGTCTCAGTTTTCAATTCTTGAGCAAAGTTAAAGAAAGGCACCGAAAATTTTGTTTTGATTTTCAATTCAGATATTGAATCCAACTTGGTAACAAAGTAATTCAAACTCTCAATAATAAATGACTGATTGCACTCGATACAATCTAACTTTTCAAATAATTCTCTACATAAAACTGAAAAAAGGTTGCAAATTTCAGTAAAAATTGACTCAATTTCAGCCTCTTTTTGTATTTTCTTTTCCCTATCTTTTAATGTAGCCAAGTCTGAAAAACCTCTTTTTGACTTTTTTTGTTGGTTTGGTTCAAATTTATCGTCTAAACTGTATTTGGAAAACTTCCAAATTATTTGAAGGTTATCATATAAAATATCACACAACTTTTTTACAGACTCTGCAACCAATAATTGGTAATTGGTATCAACCTTCTTTGTTTGATTTGTTTCAAGGGAGTCAAAAGACCACATGATTTCCTCTTCCAATAATAGGTGCTCAATGTCCATTCCTTCTGCTTGGTCATAAAAATCCGTTTCCCCTCTAAAAGATTTACCACTCTTAAGTTTAATAGAAGCATTTTTTTCTTCAATAGAAGAGAAAATGTCTTGCATTTTGTCAATTAATGAATTAAATTGGTAACTAATAAAAAATTTGATTGGATCAACTTGTTTTGCATCCAATAAATACAGATATCCAACGTATCTTTCCTTTACTTCAATGGAAACGCTTGAATCTTTAAGTTTAGAATAGAGTTCTGTTTTGACCTCATCCACCTGGCTCATTATTTGTTCTCTCAAGGATATCAAAACCTTAGAAGAGGTATTTCCCTTGATAAAATACTTTGCTTTTTTGTAGTCGAGGATAATTTTCTTATATTCTTTCTATTGAAACTGAAACAATTTTTTCTGTCAAAAGTACTTACTCTTTCTCTATTTTGTTTAATGTCGGAAGGAATAATAAATAGAAATTTGAGTTTGTCTACGATATTTACCATTGATCTAATTTCTTCTCCCATTTGTTGTGTTTTTATCATTGGCGAAAATAAGTTCTTACAGTATGATTGCAAATTATCAAATGATTGTTCCAAACCAGCAACTGCATTGTCATTAAATATATTTCTTCCTTCTCTATCGCCTATTAAAAACTCTTCCAACTTGTCTTTGAGGTAAATATATTTTTCCAGATTATCATGCACAAATTGTCTCAGTTTGTTAGATTGAATTTCTTTTCTCCTAGTACAAGTTTTTTTAGCGTTCTTCAGTGCTGAAAAGCTAAATTTAGCATGAAGATTACCTAAATATTTTGTAGGAATAAAACCATCCTCATATGGATTAAGGCCATGCTTAAGTTTTGAGGGTTGAAGATTTCTGAACAACGTAATCAATCGGAAATGTAATGAACTTACTTTACAAGATCAAGAGGATCATCACATCTGTCTTGATCCGTTGGGTTTTTTTGTTTTTTTATCCCACTTTGTTTCTCTTTGTGGAGCTGTAAACGCTCAAGTAAATCTTCCACCTTACTTGCTTGCCTCCATGTTGAGGGTGCTGAATTAAGTACTTCTTCTTCATCGATAATTTCGTCTTCTTCCTCCTCCTCCCCATCATCATTAAACCAGTCATCCTCTTCCTCATCAATTTTTGTTTCACTTTCCTTAGAGTCTGCAAAACTTTCCTCGGATTGACCATTTTTTTAAATATTTTATTAATATTCAATCTTGTAGAGGGTTGGTCGGGATTTGGCAATCTTTACCCTAGAAGAAATTCGTAGTTTAGCATCAGAAAACTCTTGTTGGAAAGTACGTG